GTCAACCTTTGATAACGATAGTTGTTCTTTGCACACACATAGTGTCCATTGCCGTGCCAAAATGAACAGCACTCTCACTGTGTGATGCATTAAACAACAACTAAAATTTTGATTACTTGACTGGAGCAAGCATAGTTGGCATGTTTCATTGTAGGTGTGTTAGTGCATATGTGTATGTCAACATACATGCACATATGCTGAATGGCATATAATCAGTCACATATTTTGACTAACAGCAACCAATCTGAATTTCTTACCAAATGCAGTGTTTTCCGATCAATAAAATAAAACCTCCATAACTTCCACATCTCTTATCCTGCAACTGGGCATCTCCATCTTAGTTCCTTGCCAATAATTGTTCTAAGCGCTTTGCATCTGGCAGTCAACATGGAGAAAGCATGCAAAGAGGAGTTAACCCCTTAGTGACCAGACGTTTTTCAGTTTTCTTACCATTAAGGACCAGTGCTCTTTTTACATTTCTTCGGTGTTTGTGTTTAGCTGCAATTTTCCATTCATTTACTGTACCCACACATATATACCGTTTATGGACTTTCTAAAGATACTATTATTTCCATCATATCATATAATTTACTATAGAAAAAATTATAAAATATGATGAACAAATTTAAAAGACACACTTTTTCTAACTATGACCCTGAAAATCTGTTACGCATCTACAACCGCCAAAAAACACCTTTGCTAAATAGTTTCTAAATTTTGTCCTGCATTTAGAAATACCCAATGTTAACATGTTCTTAGCTTTTTTGGAAAATTATAGGTCAATAAGTACAAGTAGCACTTTGCTATTTACAAACCATTTTTTTTTCAAAATGAACACAAGTTACATTGTAACACTCAAATCTGTCAGGAATTCCTGAATAACCTTTCACATGTATATTTAATAACCTAAGGTATTACACTTGGGGTATTTGACTCTTTTCATGCAACCATTTTACCACCAATCTATGCCAAATGTAAGAAAAAAAATAATAATTGGTGATTTTTTTGACAAACATAGCAATTTAAAAATACATGAATGGAGAACTTTAAAGGGACACTCCTGGCACCACTTCTGCCCATTAGAGTGGTCTGGGTGCCAACTCCCACTACTCTTAACCCTGCAAGTGTAATTATTGCAGTTTTTTATATACTGCAATAATTACCTTGCAGGGTTAACTCCACCTCTAGTGACTGTCACCTCTAGTGGCCCTCTAGTGGCTGTCTACTAGACAGCCACTAGAGGGCCCTTCCTGGTTCCTAGCACAGGAAACCTGTGCTAGAGCGTTGCTGGACGTCCTCACGCTGTGTGAGGACCTCCACCATCACTCATTTCCCCATAGTAAAGCATTGAAATGCGCATGTGCATTAGGTCTCCCCGGCCGGTGGGCAGGATCATTCTCGTCCACCGGCCGACGAAGTCAGAAGGAGGAGCGGCGCGGAGGGAGAAGCAGCGACGTGGGACATCGTTTTCACCCCTTCAGCAACCGGGGATTGGGGGGTGGGAGGCAGTGCCAGTAAAACAGATTGTTTTCGTGGCACTGGAGTTTCCCTTTAAGGGTTACTGCCAAAGAACACCCCAATATGTGTTCAGCAACATCTCCTGAGTACAGTGATAACCCCCGTGTATAGGTGTGTCGGGTTCTCTGGGGGCTAAAACACCTTATTTGGAGGGTGCGCATTACAGTTTTCCAACTTGGAATTTTCACAGCTGGTCATCATGCACCCATGTCATATTTGGGACATTTTTTAAGCCGGCCAATGTAATTTACCCCCATTAAACCATATATTTAACCTGTTGTCTTTTGACCCTGAGGAAGGTCCCGAGCGGGGACCGAAACGTTGGTTGTTATTTTTAATACTACTTAATACATTTTCGTTTTAAAGTCTAGAGAGCAGCCTGCCTTGTTGGATTCTTTATCTATTGGAGCTCTGGTGATGCGCCCGGTATTGGAACATTTTTCAAGCGTGAGTGCAGGGGATTATTGCATTTTTATATATATATATATATATATATATATATAATACGTGTGTGTGTGTGTATATATATATATATATAAAAAAAAAATATATATATATATATATATATACACACAAACACATATATATATATATATATATATATATACCCACACACTTTTATTTCCTATATATGTATAATATATTATATTTAAAGCATTTTATAATATATTATACATATATAATGCATATATATAATTTCATTATTAGTGTATATTGAGATATATGTGCTTATATCTCAAAGTACACTTATAATGAAATCAAATTTATGCATTATATATGTATAATTTATTATTAAATGCTTTAATTATTTTATAATATATTATACATATATAATACAGACACTCCTCACTTACCGACCGGGTTCTGTTCCTACGACCCGGAAACTTCCCCGAACATAGATGAACGCACCAGAGCAGGGAATCCCCCTAATTTATGTTCTGGGAAATGCGCACCAGAGCAGGGAATCCCCCTAATCTATGTTCGTTTTAGCAGCCAGGGGGGCTTTTTAGCAGCCTGGGAGACTGTCTGACAGCTCAGACAGTTGCCCTGCTGGCAGCTCCTAGAATCCTATTGCGGCGATGTGATCATGGTGATCACATGGCCCCGGAGGGCCGGGGTGGCCGGAGCTGGTGCAGGGAACTGCTAGGGTCTCCGGCAGTCCCCCCGACCATGATTGCCGCAGTTCGCTGGTCCAGGTAAGTCCAGGACTCCTATTTGCCGCAGACGTACTAGGAGAATCCGCTGTCATTAACTACGATTTTTTGTCAGACGTACCTAGTAAAAAAAAATTACAATTATTTTTAGTTTTTTATTTATTTTTAATTATTTATTTTTTATAATAATATATATATATACAATATATATAGTTATTATATATATTATATATATATGTGTGTGTAATTTTACTCTAAGTGTATTTTTATATTAATATATGTATATATAATAATAAAAAATACACTTAGTATGATGTTATATATAAGATATATATATATATGTTATATATAGATATAATATACGTATATATATATATATATATATATCATATATACATATATTTGTTAATTTAAAAACTTTTTTAAAACTTTTTCACCAGTAGGTCGACTGCCTGTCAGTTCAGGCAGTCCCCCTGCTGGCAGCACTGTGGACACCTATTGCAGCCATGTGATCGCTCTTTTAGGGCGGTCACATGGCCCCTGAGGATCCTAAAATGGAGAGGGGGGACTGTCTGGGCTTCCGATGCTCTTGCCTACACTGCCCGGTGCCATGAGCGGCAACACAATCACTTGGGTGCCCGGCAGCAAGGGGGGAGGGTTATTCCACGATTCCATCGTGTAATACCCATAGAGCATCTGGAAGCAATCACAATCGATTCCAGCGCTCAAATTTTACCTTAAGGATCGTTTTTTGTCGGATGTAACTCATATAGCCGCGGTCCTTAATGGGTTAAAGTGGCACTGCCATCTCCCCCTGCATAATGAGTATAAAGATAGAATCCTTATGAAATACTCATTTGTCAAGAAGTGTCAATCCCCCAGCTGTCACCAGTGACGGCTGCAGGGAAATTGACTCTATCTATGTAGAATCCTATTTACTCCTGGGATCCTCCATAGACCTCTCTGGTGTACTCTCACACATGCGTGACAGTATAGCAGTGACGGTTCCTAGTAGCTGTAACACCAGGAACAGACGAGGACCATCCAAAGAGGATGGAGACGCCTGCAAGGGATAGGTTCAGGTAAGAAGAACTCATCTTTGCCTGTTTCCCCCACCCCCCCAGCTACCGGACCACCAATGGCGATGTCATTGTTGGGAATCTTAGCAAATTATGTAAAGTTCCCAGATGGTGACAGTGCCGCTTTAGAATTAATTAATGTTTCTTTCTATTTATCCTGTTTGTTTAAAATGCTTGCTCTGGCTTTGCCTTGCTTGAACTTGAATGTCATGAAATTTACTAAATCTTTAAATTAAATGTAAAAGAAACAGAGAGAAATTATAGGTGATTACCTGTGTTTTATTCAACAACATAAAACATAATATATTTGCAAAACAGCTCCCACAATGAAATGGTGGTATTAAAAATGATTTTGTGTAATAACAAAACATCCGACACATTAGATTCAAGTCGAGCACTCAAGCTAAATAAAAAGCCAATTCAAGAATAAAATACAATTTAACCATTTTATTACAAGAGGTGCGCATTTTATATTCTCCCAAATGAAAAGTGATACGTTGCTTACAATCATGCACTTCAAGCATTAATTTTAGAAACAATTACCGTACGTCGTTTTTTTTTTCCCCTAGAAGGTATGATTGTTTTTCAAGACATGATAAGTGGGCTTGTGCCAATGAAACATGTTACCCTTCAAAATATATTTTACACAATGATACAAAATGAAGCACTGCATATGGCATGAAAACCAAGAAACTACAGCTGATTAGTGACATATTTATCCCACAGCACTGTGAAAACTGAACTCATCGAGAAATTATCTCTTGAGCTGTTTACCTAAGAGAAAAAACATTTGCCGATTGCTGTCAGATTGTTATTATACCGGTTATTCTGTCTGCTTATGCTTTATTGTCATTTAAATTATCATGGAAAATTCTTTAAAAAAATATATTAGGATTTTTAGCGATCACTGTCAAATTCCATTCCACAGTTAAGCTTAGTAATAAAATCTCCTTAAAGTGTAATCCAATTCAGACATGCTCTAATCTCTCCAGCAGCTTAATTGTCTATACAAATAGGAGATCATCTAACTGTGCATATCTATATTACTTAATTTAAGGGCAAAATTGCTGTAAATGTAAATTTTCATGAGCTTCTGAACAGGAATGTGAAGGGAGCAATGTAAAGAAACATACCTTAGAATTAGCTCCTGGCCTAGTGTGTGGATCCCAAATGTTCCTTTAAATAATGTTCCTAGACTAAACCTCTATTTGTCGTAGAATTACTAAGGCTGGTCCAAAACATTGTGCTGCCTGGGTGCAAGAACAAAATTCATATAACTCACTATATATGAATGTTCCCTTAAGATATCTCCCTAACTCAAATCCCTCGATGTATCTTCCTCCAGACATATCCATTCAATGATATCCATTGCGGTGACCCACAACATAAAATTTCTGGACCTCTGCCACTATTCATGTCTAAATGCCCTACTTTCTATCCTAACACCAGTCCTATTTTCTCCTCCAAACTCATCAACGTCCTCCTCATCAACCCCATATCAACCATTCAAAAATAGGAAACTCTGCCTGCTGCAGTTGTCCATCTATTGGGGTGCAATGTTCAAAGTATAAGAGGATTAGAAAACTCCCAACACCCACATGGTTCCTGTGACATTTTGATGTTATACACATTGCAGAGAAGATGGTTGACTTCAGCAGCTGTCTCATGTTAGTAGACAGTGAGGAGAGTGATAAAGCAACTATCCTCCAGCTGAGCAGTGTTATGCTAAGTTCCGGTGGTCACGGCTCGTTAAAATGGAACTGTCATTTCTTTGGAAGGTCACCATTGAATGAAACATTGAAAATTACCTTTAACTTGGGTTAATTGCTTTTTCATGAGATTCTCCAATTTCCTTTAGATTTATATTGAAATTTCGCAAATTGCATTATAACCTATTTCAAACAATGCAAAGCTATTGCAGACATTTATGTTGTAATTGTCTCATTTATTGTTAAATCACCCCCTCTTATAATATTATAAAGCGCTATATAAATGCCAATAATAACGAGGTGTGGATTTCTACAATTTGCTTTCTTTTCACAAATAGATATACTGTATGTTAAATATATTATGGTAAATATTCATAGTATTAATAATCCTGGGAACTTGCAGTTCCCTTTCAGATGCAGCATTCATAGTTCCCAGAAACCAGTCAGCCCAAGGCTAAGGTGTCAAAATGATTCCTGGAAAACTGAACTACAGCTCTCAAATGACTTCTTGAGCCTGCATGTCATAGGACAAATTACAAAATAATTTGACATGGTTACAGAAACTCGGTAAGATTGCAAATTTACCAAATAACCATGGAAATGATACAAAGGCAGGTCCAAGGTGTATTATGAACCAACTGGCTTTGGCTTGTGCTAACACTTTCTGGAAACACCCTCCTAGACGAAGTTGGAGCCAGAAACCTCCCTATGGAATTTGATGAGTTAGTCATAAAGAAAAGGGAAAAGGCTAGGTCCAACACTTTTCGTCTTGGTCTCAATTTTGCTATGCCACTTCCAATCCTTCCCCGGATATGGCGTTGGTACCCTCGGTGGGGTCTGGAGTCTGACGGGACTTGCTGAAGCTAAAAAAACCCTTACGGAGGGACTCTGTATGTACTGTGGGAAGAAAGGACACCTCCATGCCACCTGCCCTAACTGGCAAGGAAAATGTTAGCACCTAAGATCTCTCAGGGGACCGGCCTTGGGTGTATGTACAGTGTCTTCTCATAAGTCTAGCTGTCGTCTCCCTACAGTGCTATGCTGCAACAATGTCATCCATGCTATTTTGAACTCTGGTGCTTTAAGAAATTCATTAAAACATCTCTTTAGGCAAGCCTCTAATTCCCCTGAATCATTTTCATTAATTAAAACCGCCTATCCTGCCCCTTATTTGCTTTTGTTTTGTTTTTATCATTGTTCTAAAATTGTAAAGCACTACAAAATATGTTTCCACTATGACTATACAAATGATAATAAGACACATTTTAAAGAATGTGCGCAGCAGTTCTGATAAATCACATGTCAAAACGCTCCCAGAATGCATTGCAATGTATACATATTTTAAAAAATGACAATCCGGTTTGTATTTATGTGCAATTGACATTGTATTCCACAGGTATGAAAACATTATTTTAGAACATCTGTGTTTGCAAATTATTTTTTTTATTTATGATATGTAGTTGTAGCACAGCAGAATAATTGAACTTTCATTTATATAGCGCTAAAAGTTATATATAACAGAGTTTACATGAAAATGCAGTAATTATACAGTATATTTATATAGGACTAACAGGTTTATGTAGAACTTTACAGCCTACATTAAATTGGAGAGTAGGGACATTTATTAATGCACAACATTTCAGTAATGGGCTACAATGTGTGCATACATACTAGGATGACATTAGGAGAATAGTTCTGATTATCATCATACACCGTCAGACCCACTGCAATCTCTCTGGCCTGTGTTTTGCTCAATTTATTTTAGACACCCCAAAATAGTTTAGAGTAACAAACCTCCAAATCATATTCTCAGTTTCCTCTTTTTCATTTCTGTTTCGCCTAGGCTGCCATGTTAATGCTAAGCTTTAAAGGCATCATTTGCTAATGGCGAATCCCCTCACCCCATCCTATGTGACATCCCCGTGAGTGAAATGCAGGAAGAACTTGGACTCAGCATGGGATTGCTGGTGAGTTTTTAAAGGAGGGTAACTATGTTTAATTTTTTTTTTTTTTGGTTTAAGTGACCCTTTAAGTTTAAAACTAGTGATCAGCAAAATGGTAAAACACAGAGATATTCAGATTGTGGTCATAAATAAAATTCAATTCCATATGATATTTTCCAAGTAAATAAAAGTAAGAAACATACATAGAGACATGTTTATTTTATCAACATAGAATAACGAGAAGTTGCGTTGACTTCTACAGTATTTGAACCTTTGGCAGCAGCCGGAAAAGATGAAAAACTCCAATAACAATCATTTGCTTATTTGTCAAATTTAACACGAAACAGTAATGGCAGTTTAGCAAGAATTAAAGCATGTATTTATCTTTTAAAACTACTAAATATTGTATAAACAAGCAAAAAAAAAAAGAGTCAGTCAATCATGTTTTCTGTAAACAATCATTTATTTCTTTGGCACTTTAAAAAGGATTAAGAACATATTTCACAAAAATAAAACATTATTTACATTATTTACAAATGGATATAACTGAATGGAATTATAAACAGAAGTAAAAATAATAATAATAAACAGAGTATAATTTTCATTAACAATCAGCGATTTATTTGACACTTAAACTTAAAATAGCTGAAAAGTTTCACCAAAATAAAGCAAGTCGATTAAATATTTGATATGTTTGGCAAAAAATAAAATGTAACTATACGATTCATATTTAGACCAATGAGAAGTTAGTGATGGAAGAGGTAGGGATTAGTCTTTCAGTATAAATTACGGTATAGTTAAAGGACCACTATAGGCACCCAGACCACTTCAGCTTAATGAAGTGGTCTGGGTGCCTGGTCCAGCTAGGATTAACCCTTTTTTCTATAAACATAGCAGTTTTAGAGAAACTGCTATGTTTATAAATAGGTTAATCCAGCCTCTAAAGGCTCTAGTGGCTGTCTCATTGACAGCCGCTAGAGGCGTTTGCGTGCTTCTCACTGAGAAAATCACAGTGAGAAGACGCAAGCGTCCATAGGAAAGCATTATGAATGCTTTCCTATGAGACTGGCTGAATGCGCGCGCAGCTCCTGCCACGCATGCACATTCAGCCGAAGAGGAGGAGAGGAGGTGGAGAGGAGGAGGAGAACTCCCCGCCTGGCGCTGGAGAAAGGTAAGTTTTAACTCCTTTCCTCTCCCCAGAGCCGGGCGGGAGGGGGACCCTGAGGGTGGGGGCACCCTCAGGGCACTATAGTGCCAGGAAAACAAATATGTTTTCCTGGCACTATAGTGGTCCTTTAAAGTAAGTAAGGAACACTCATACAAGCAGGAGTTTAGCAAACTCCTGTTATAACCATTAGGGATCACTGTATTTTAGCCACTATATAGGTTACTCTCATACTTCTGATTACCACGTTATCCTTTTGTAAGAAATTCCAATTTGCAATCTCTGAACTTTATTTTACCTATATCCATGCTTTCTATGTTGCTATGGTTATAATATAGTAACATAACATAGTTGTAACAGGTGTGATGTGTACGCACCAGCCCAAAAAAGCAACTCAGTCCTTCAAGGGCTTGAGGGGAGATTTAAAATCTCCCTCACTGTCCCATAGCACACACTGGTAGAGACGTACAGGTAGCAAGTGCTTTGATTCTACAAGCTCCAGTCACTGAGAAACATGGCCAGAGCCCGCCAGAGAGTGCAGTCATTACTGTACTATCAGGATGTCGTCCCCCCAGTGGCATAGCAAGAGCTTTTGCCGCCCAGGGCTGGCCCTTGAGTTTGACGCCCCTATCTCGACCCATTTCATATCCGGTACAGTCACGGACGTCCGTGGCTGCACCAGACAAACCTCTTTTAAGTACTCAACGCCTCTAGCCCAACACTGTTTAGAACCTTTTCAAGCTTTTTTAAGATATACACCCAATGAACACATGCCTGAAAAATTCATGCATGTAATTCATTGGGGGCATATCTACTAAACAGTGATTTTATGGGGGTAGGGTTTTTGCCCATTTGAGCAGAGTGTTCCTTTAAATAATTATTGCTACTGAAGCGCTTCAGATTATTTAACTTTTTATTGGTGTGAAAAGAAACACTTAGTAGTGAAACGCAGCTTATTGAATTAAATTTTTTACACATTTTAAAAATATATACTTTTATTTTTTGGGAGGGAGGGTGTGTGTGGAGGGTGCAGGGACAGAGTGGGATCTGTGGAGGGAGGGGGACGTTGCAGGGGAGGGAGGGGGATCTGTACAGGGGATGGAGGGGACACTGGCGTATATACCCCGGTTGCAGGGGTGGCAGCTGTAACCGGGCCTGTCACTCCAGGGGGCCCGGCCGCCCTGCAGACCTCTGCGATCGAGTACCTGCCATCACCATTTGCGGCCCTGGCCCACACGGCAAACGGCCAGGGCCGCCGTCCAAGGGGCCCACCGGGTGACCCATGCTGTCAGGTGACCCCAAAAAAGTGCCTCCCGGAACGGACCACCCCCCACCCCCTTTGCTACGCCACTGTGTCCCCCCGCCCTACAAAAGCGAAGGAAGAATAAACATGTCATATATCTGTTCCAGTTCTCAGTCAGATTCATTCAGATTCAAGCATTACTTTCTATAGTGAGAGAAATATACTCCTCTTCTCGGTTTATTATTATTTGGGGTCATAATGTTCACTGATCACCATATCACTTTTGTATTTTTTTTATTCCTTTCTTTTTAAGTTCCTTTGACTTTTTTAAAATTATTATATTTGTAATTCAAGTTAGGTCCTTCAATAGCCTTGTCGATCGCCTATTTGCCACATTGGTTTTATATTTCTGTGGCAAATAATTTCTAAACTGTAACAGTAGCCCAATGTAACAGCCAAATGTTCTATAAATATATATAATGTTTACATCCACATTTCTGTGTGTTTTGTTTGTCTAAATTCCCCAAAGATTTAACCTTGTAAATGGGTCATAATTTCTACATCTCCAGTGAACCCAAACTAGCACCCATCCACCTCCTGTATTCCTGGATTGCTAACATTCTCATGTATTACTATAGATTTGTAACCATTTTACCTGTCGTTTGTAATATTCCGTGCATGCAGTATGTACTATAGTCATTTAATGTTTCTGACCAATATTTCATGTAGACAGTTATTAATATTTTGGGTGATAGAATTTGGTTGCTAAACTTTTCAATAGTATAGAACACATGGATACTCTACCCCTCTCCCCCCTCCCCTTTTCTCCTCCCCAGTTGTAAATACCTCCATATAACTGTTCAATCCCATTCTCTGTTCTTCAGGCCTCACTCAACTCAGTGAGAGACCGCATTTTTTCTCCCCACTTCCCACCCACCCTCCCCTCCTACTTCCCAGCCCACCCTCCCCTCCTCTCGCCCACCCAGGCTCCCCCTAAATATATAGCATGCTCCTCCAGCTGTTTGAGATTCTCACCCAATTACCTCTTCATTCCCCTAACATCTACCAATAGCTGCTTCTCTGTTAACTCATTCAGCCATCACCTCCAAACTTCCCCAGCTACCTCTTGTCTCTAATCCCCACAGTATCCTTTAGAGTGTAAGCTCACGGGCCATCTAGCCAAGCACTTTGTATAAAAGAGCTCCAATGGCTAGATATCAGCTTACGGGCAAGGCTCTCTTACCTCTTGTATTTGTCTGTGTATATTGTACGTTTCTCCACTAATTGTACAGCGCTGCGGAATCTGTTGGCACTTTATAAATAGCAGTAATAAATAATAATAATAAATAAAAGCTAACTTTGGGTCTTGGGTCTCATAGAAAGCAAGCTACAAGTTAAGGATTGGGATTCCCAGAGAATGTCAGATAAATGAACAGGCTGCCCTTTGTTTCTCTATACCACTAGGTTACTCTCTAAATGTTGTCAAGAATCTATTCTATGCTGTGTTATACCAACCATCAGCACATGCACTTTATGTACTAGGAGGGATGAACAGATGGACTGATTATTTATATATACATATACAGCATGGGCTCGCCCCACACTCTCCCGTCTTGTACTTGCCTCAGTGCAGCTCTGTGCCTTAATATATATTTCAAGGAAAGCGCACTCAGGAGGACTTTGTGGTAAAGAAAATGTTATTTTTTTTGTGTACAAATACCACATACAGATTATCAATGTTCCAGTCATATCATGGACTTTTCTCAAAGTCTTGAGAAAAGTCCATGATAGGACTGAAACGTGGATGATGTGTACATTATATATCTATTGCAAAATAAGGGGGCCGAACTGATGGCACACATTATTATTTGTATCATATAATCATATATTCTGCTTATAAGGCAGCAGGTTGCTAATAATGATTAAACAAAGAGACAAATAAGGATAGGAATTCCAAATAATCCTGTCTGTTAGTGCCAGGAACTGTAAGCAGTGTAGAACATACCATTAAACCTGAGCATGTTAATAGTATGCAAATATATATCAATTAACTAAAAGTAAACTGATCTCCTTGGGTGGTCAAAGCAACGTTTTAGAGAGTAATCTAAGAATGACTTGTATCTTTAATCATCAAAGTGTCTTTCTACATGTTTTTCACAGGTGTCAACAATACCTATTTTGTTAGAACAATCCCAAACTGTGAGGTCTTGTTCTTGCAAAACATGGCGATTAGGTCAGGCAGCTTTCAGGATGCAGTAGGGGACATGCACAGAGTACTTCAGCTGATGGTCTGTTTGGGAATGTGAGGCTGTCACTCTCAGTAAGCTCGGCCACACACTTTAGGGGTGGGAAGACCCAAAATTTTAACAGGCGGGTCCGTCCGTCTGGGCAGGTTTTCTTCTTGCCTGCCCACATCTGTATTGGTTGTTGGGCAGACAATGTTGGCAGTTACGGCTTTTCCATAATTTCCTCGAGCCCACCGCTGAGATGGAAAGATGATTATTAGCAGATAATCTCGGTCATTGCCAAGACAAGTATACAGACTCCTAATTAGGCAACCTACACAATATACACAGTGCTATTCTGCCTGTCACTAAGTGGAGCACCATTGTCCTATAGATTGGCAGCAATGAGAATAAATATTTAGAGGATCCTAGAGATTCACCAGGACATATATGTCTCAGCCTTCTCTGCTCTAGTGGGAGTTATAGTCCCCGTCAGCAAGGGACTATATCTTTAATGATGCCTTTAATTCAGCCCACTCCCCATTACTGGTGTGTTGGGAGAGGAGCTGGGACATTCCTTGTTTTCAGCTCCTTTCCTGGAATATTGGGAATCAAATCTTAACCCCTTAAGGACCAAACTTCTGGAATAAAAGGGAATCATGACATGTCACACATGTCATATGTCCTTAAGGGGTTAAATTTGGAGCAGGAGTTTTACCAAACACAGAGCACACTGTCATAGAAGAGTTAACGATTGAATAAAGTCACTTTCTGTGCATGTTCAATATGTAATCTGGTACACTGGGTCGCCAACTTTAATAATGCCAGTTTGCTGTATTCTTACATATTGCCCAAACAAAGGGGATGTTTTGAAGATACCTTGGTCCAAGGGATTATGCAAGCGATAACTGGGAAGAAGACAAAAGGCTGTTAAAATGCAAAAAAGGCCATGCAAATGCAGTATGTGGGGTGGAGGGGTCTGCTAGTGAGAATTTGTGTAGTGTAAATGGAGCAATATAAAGTCACAGCAGCACTCCATTGATAATAAAGTCAGTCTTTATTGTAAAATTCAGAATGATAAAGAATTGTCACACAATATAATGACATTAAAATTCATTATACATGACAAACAAAGTTATTAGCCAATGGAAGCAAAAAAAACTAAACAAAAAAACAACAGGAAGAAATACTGTAGACAAATAAAAAATGTGATACTTATGAAACTGGTCAATGTATAGTGTTACCTGAAGGAATATGCAGGAGGGCAAATATCCCGACATTTTGGCTCAGCAGCCTTTTTCATCGGATCCCTTAAGGGCTGTTGAACTGAAACTTTGGGATATTTGGGATTACTTATAAAGTACAATAAAGAATGTCATTTTATTTATGGAGTGTTGCTGGGCTTTAGATTAATGTCTTACACTGATCTGAACATATTTGTGTTTTTGTGCAATTTATTTTGGTCTTTTATACTTGGGTGCGCTTATATACTAATACTAGATTGAGTTATTTAGTTAAAGAGTTATTTCGTTTTGTGGGATATGGGAAGAGAAAATAGACTTTACATTTATAACATTCATTAAATTAACCAAACTTGTAAACATGTATAAACCCAATCACAGCTAACTACAGTCCTCAGTAGAGGTAGGCATGGGATTAATATTACTTGTCTTGTCCCCATAACATTTTTCCCCTATCCTCCAAAGCAATTGAATGTATACCCCAAAAGTCAAGCCTGACATTGTTTGTTAATTTAGAGTAGGTTATGGGAGTGATCTTCCTTATCCAGACCTGGATTTATCCTTCAAATATTGTATCTCTAAATTAATCAGATATAACATTTTCAAATGTCTTGAATAATTTTAAGAAATATTTGGTAAGTGAAGACAGATGGTCATAGGAAGGAAAATTAGGATTTTAATCAAACACAATATGTTCAGGCTAGAGTTTAGGTGATAATAGATTTGATTGGATTAAGGGAAGGCTTTTTATGATAGTTTAACTAGGAGGAAAATAAACTGCAGCAAAAAGATCAAATTAATAATATAAACCTGGAGAAATATGGTTATAAGTAACGTATATACTAGCAGTTTAAATACCTGCGCATGGTTTCAAGAGGTTCTTTCATATCAATGACTCCAGTGTCGGGATTCACAGTGGTCAGTATACACCTATGGATCCCATTGAAAATGAAACATTTAGTGATGGATAACATTTTATATTTTCATTTTAATGTGATATTATTACCTCCAAAGTGTCCCTATTTAGCAGGTACGGACCCTATTTTGAGCCCAAACCCCTCTGTCCCTCTTTTCTATCCTAATGTCCCTCTTTACTAGGAGCTCCATATTGTTGGTGTGTATAACAGAGCTCCATAGCAATAAAACTCATGGTAATGTGTATTTATACTAAATTTACTTTTGCCATTCTACTGAAACTGCTTGAAAGGAACCAGTGGTCTAATCACCAACAGTGGTCTACTGTAAGAAAAGAACTGAGATTGAGCCAATATACAAACTGGTACACTGGAAACAAGGGGTAACCCCAAATAGAAAACTAATATGGATAGACAAAGAGTAGTGTACCAGTAGGGACTGGGATATAATATGCTCCGATAAGAGTGCCAGCTAATTTCAGGATGGAACCATTAAATAGCTTCCAGACTAAATATCAATAGCTACTAATAACTCAACAACTGCTACTGAAAACCCCCTACATTCTGTTTTTTTATCTACTTATCTCCTGTGGCACTATCAGTGTCTTTTTTCAGGCAAAACCTCCTTCTTCAAATCTTTTTAATTTGATGCACCCCAAAGTTTGTTTCTAGGTTCCTTCCTGTTTATACAGTATCTAAAGTAATGACTTCCTTTTGGATTTCTGGGTCATCTCTATGCTTACGGCATCCATATATTATGCGCTGCTTTTTTCATACATGATTAAACATATGTCACCAAATATTTATTTATTCTGTATGATCACTGAGCAGAATCAAAATATTGGTATCTTTGAACAAATGAAACAGCCCAATCACAGGGTTTTCTATGAGAAGCTTGTGATTGGACAGCACAATGACACCTGTGACGTCAGATGGAGGAGGGCGATATGTAAGCAGGAGCTTCAGGTACATTTTTACTTTAAAGATTTTTTTTTTTAAATTCCAAGGGGGTGAGGACCTAATAGGAATGCCTAATAAAGCAATGTAAGCCTAAACAGGCTAATAGTGGCAAAAGTTGGAGTAAGCCTTTAAAGATTTTGCTGAATTAAAGGGACACTGTAAAATCCTGGCAAAGATTGTAGCGCTGTATGTCCAATTTCCCAACAAGCTAGATGAATGACGTTCGGGAGATAGGAACTACCAACTGGGGGAGCATTCACTCCCTCAGAGCCAGGGGAAGCCTTCATCGGTGTTCGCACCGTTGCTGTTGCCCTCGATTCTCTGGAACTATTTTGGGTCATCACCTCGTTGCCAGCTGGTCAAAATTTAATCAGAATGGCGATTCCCTTCTACCAAATGGATCTGAGCACTATTTGGACCACTTGGGAGCCCAAATCCGGGCTATTCAGGGATATAAGATTATGGGGTTCCGGTATATTTTTTATATGTTTTTGATGTATTTTGTGTAAAATTGTATGGTTTCCTGTAAATGGGAGATAATTGAGTTAGCCTTCCATTGACTCAATTATCTCCTAGATACAGAGACGCTTGGGAGGGGTTTGTACTGTTTTCCATGGAGACCCTATGCTGGTGGTGTGTGCATAAAAAGCAGAATGGGGCACAATAAACCTCAGTTGACTCCCAGAACTGTGTGTCGTCCAGTTACTGGGGGAATGGGCTATAATCACTAAACAGTGCTTTCTTCCAGCTCCAGAAGATTCAAGCGGAGATATTCGGTCTCAGGATTGCAGCTCTGCTACAATTACCACTATCACATATTTTTTCACAACATCAAAGGATCACTATAGTGTCCGAAAAACAAAGCGGTTTTCCTGACACTATAGTGCCCTAAGCACTATAGTGTCCTCACGAAGACAGTTCTCCAAAACTACTATGTTTACATGTGAAGGGTTAAAACCTGAGGGACCTGGCACCCAGACCACTTCATTGAGCTGAAGTGGCCTGGGTGACTATAGTGTCCCTTTAAATACTTTTATTTTTAGGTTGCAATGTATATCTGTATGTATAAACACAGAAAGCACATGCTTAATTTTATACAGGTACAGGTACCACTAACCTTGGGCATGGCATAACTCGCTTCAAGGTCACACTGGTCCCAATCTGCACTTCTTCCCATGAATCCTACATTTGAAAAGGAAAGAATAGGGTGTAAAGTTATAGAAGCTCATAGAAATAAGCTTTTGTCACACTCATTCACATTTCTCATATTAAAAGTCAATTTTTTAAAACTATATATTAAATGAATTCTGAATTAATAAATGACTAATTGCAAAATTCACAAATTGTTATTTAAACTGATACTGTAATTCTGTGTGTTTTGTCTGTCTTCCTGTATATCTATGTTGATGCACATGTGGAGGTTACCCTGAGAGTGCAAATTTCATTCAGATCAATTCAATGAGTGCAAAACATCTAAAAATGTTTCAAATCAGTGCAAAGTACCCAAATGTCAGATATTTTTCAAGCATCAAATTGCTTATGAAATGACCCGACATTTTGTCAAATTAAGAAATGTTTGTCTTTTTCTTTTTAGTTGTTAGGCTTACTTGTAAGAGCAGACATACATATTTGATAGTGTCCTAACCTCAACATCTGAGAAAAGGGATTTAGAGGTGAGGGAGAGGTATTAGCAGTAGAAAGAGAGAAGTGCTCATGCCATTGTACAGAACACTGGTGAGACCTCACTTGGAGTATTGTACGCAGTACTGGAGACCGTATCTTCAGAAGCATATTGATACTTTAGAGAAAGGTCAAGAAGGGCTACTAAACTGGTTAATGCATTACAGGATAAAACTTACCAGGAAAGGTTAGAGGAACTCAACATGTATAGCTTGGAAGAAAGACGAGACAGGGGGATATGATAGAAACATTTAAATACATAAAGGGAATCAACACAGTAAAGGAGGAGACTATATTTAAAAGAAGAAAAACTACCACAACAAGAGGACATAGTATTAAATTAGAGGGACAAAGGTTTAAAAATAATACCAGGAAGTATTACTTTACTGAGAGGGTAGTGGATGCATGGAATAGCCCTCCAGCTGAAGTGGTAGAGGTTAACACAGTGAGGGAGTTTAAGCATGCATGGGATAGGCATAAGGCTATCCTAGCTATAAGATAAGGCCAGGGACTAATGAAAGTATTTAGAAAATTGGGCAGACTAGATGGGCCAAATGGTTCTTATCTGCCGTCACATTCTATGTTTCTATATTATATTATATTTTTAATGCACATCTTCACTTGAGCACCCTGCACTTTATTAATAATTGTAAAGTTGCTGCTTAACCCCTAGCCCCCTAACGCAAAGTCCCTCTAACCCGCAAAATAATTTTGTTTTCATACTTGATAGTGAAAGGTTTTACACTCAAAAAACTTTCCGGTACTCTAAGGCAGCTTTTTTTCCAATTGGGGTTCCATGAGAACAAAATTGGGGATCCACCGCGATCTGTCCATCGGGTGACCCATGCACTTAGGGCCACCCGATGGCTATGAACGCTGAACAGGGGCCCGGTAGGGTGCCGTGGCTCTTTATTATTATTATTATTATTATGTTATTATTTATATAGCACCATCAAATTCTGCAGCGCTTTACAATGGGTGGACGAACAGACATGTAGTTGTAACCAGACAAGTTGGACACACAGGAACAGAGGGGTTGAGGGCCCTGCTCAATGAGCTTACATGCTAGCGGGAGTGGGGTAAAATGACACAAAAAGGTAAGGATAGTATTAGACTAGTGACAGTTGCAGAAGAGGAATCAGTCAGGAGCTATTAACAGTTTAATTGATACGCTTTTATGAAGAAGTGGGTTTTAAACCATTTTTTTGAAGGAGTGGAGACTGAGTGAGCATCTAACGGAGGAGGGAAGCGAGTTCCACAGGAACAGTGCAGCCCTCGAGAAATCTTGAAGGTGAGCATCAGAGGTGGGAGTACGGACAGAAGATAGACGTAAGTCTTCAGCAGATCGTAAAGGCTTAGACGGGACATACTTGTGTATAAGGGAGGATAGATAGGTGGGAGCAGCATTATGTAGCGATTTGAAAGCAAGAATTTTAAATTGAGCTCTATATTTTATAGGAAGCCAATGTAGGGACTGACAGAAGGGTCAGGCATGGGAGGTGCGGGCGGACAGGAAGATGAGCCTTGCTGCTGCATTCATTATGGACTGTAACGGCGCAAGTTGGGAGCACGTAAGACAGTGGATTACAGTAGACAAGGCGAGAAGTGAGAAGTGGATTACAGTAGTCAAGGCAAGAAAGGACAGTGGAATAGACCAACACCTTAGTCGCATCTGGCTTTAAGAAGGGTTGAATGCGCGCAATGTTTTTGAGATGGAAATGACAGGATTTGGCGATAGATTGAACATGAGGCTTGAAGGAGAGGTCAGAGTCAAAGAGAACACTTAGGCAGCAAGATGGTAGCACCGTAGACTTGGAGGGAGACAGACACAGGAGTAACAACACTTGAGGGAGGAAAGACCAGAATTTCAGTTTTGGTCAAGTTTAGTTTAAGGAAGTGGCAGCCATCCAGTTAGAAACAGCAGAGAGGCAGTCAGAGACACTAGTCAAGAGGGACGGGGAGAGATCAGGAGAGGACAGGTAGATTTGCGTGTCATCTGCGTAGAAATGATATTGGAAGCCAAAGGAGCTAATGAGTTTACCAAGGGAGGCAGTATAGATGGAGAACAGTAGGGGACCAAGGACTGAACCTTGGGGGACACCAACAGAGAGGAGTTGGGGAGAAGAAGCAGAGCCAGAGAAAGAAACACGGAAAGAGCGCTGGGAGAGGTAGAAGGAGCACCAGGAGAGAGCAATATCATGTAGACCGTGTCAAAAGCTGTAGACAGGTCAAGGAGAATTACAATAGTGTAGGGACCACAAGATTTTGCAGCGAGTAGATCATTGGATACTTTGGTCAGTGCCGTTTCTACAGAGTGCTTAGCGCGGAAACCAAACTGAAGCGGGTCTAGCAGAGAGTTGGACTCGAGGAAGTCTGTCAATCTCGCATACAAAATTCTTTCAAGGATCTTGGATGCAAAAGGCAGTAGCGAGATAGGACGATAGTTGGATGGGGAGTTAGGGTCAAGATTGGGCTTCTTTAGAATTGGGGTTACAGTTGCATGTTTGAAGGGCAATGGAAATATACCAGAGGAGAGAGAGATTGAGAATTTTAGTGAGAGGTGGAGAAAGAGAAGAAGACAGAGTACGGATGAGATGCGAGGGAATTGGATCTAGGGAGCAGGTGGTGGGGCAGGAGGACTGTAGCAGAACAGAAACCTCTTCCAATGTAGCGGGTGCGAATGAACATAGAACAGCAGAGGGAGTGAAGTTAGGGGAAGTATTGTAAGGGGAAGAAGAAGGATGAGAGATCTCTTCTCTGATTGTAGAGATCTTGTCAGTGAAGTGAGTTGCAAAGTCTAAGGCGGTCAAGTTAGTAGGTGGAGGAAGAACAGCAGGGCGAAGAAGAGAGTTAAATGTGTGAAATAGTCGTGGGTTCGCGGGAGAGTGTGCTTATGAGGGTGTTTCAAGTAATTTACTTTTGCAGAGGAAAGAGCCAAGCTGTATGAGCTCAGCATAAATTTATAGTGGAGAAAGTCAGATGCACAGTGAGACTTTCTCCAACAGCGTTTAGCAGTTCTGGAGCATTTTTGGAGGTATCGAGGGAGCTTGGTGTGCCAGGGTTGTTGTTGGGGGCGCCTGCAGCGTTTAAATGTACAAGATGTCATGATGTCTAGTTGAGGGGAGAGGGTGGAATTGTAGAAGGAGGTTGCAGAACTAGGACAGGTGAGGTTTGAGATAGGTAAAAGGAGAGTTTGGAGATTAGTGGAGAAATGCTCTAGGTCCAGACATTTCTGTGAGAGTGATAGGCCCCTGCCCTATCGGCGGACTGGGAGGCGCAGAAGGAATGCAGTGAGTAATGAGCAAGCTGGAGGCAGCAGCACACAACATAGAGGCAAATGAGAGGCTGGGAGTGAGCTGCTGCAGCTGCATGCTCACTCCCATCAGCCTCAGACAGGACCAGACCTCCAAGCAAGCCACCCTCCAGGACACCAAGGTAAGCTAACAGGAGGGTGGCTGCAAATACAAACATTTTAACATGTATGTGTTTATGTATGTCAGATTGTGTGTTTATGTATGTCAGATTGTGTGTGTATGTGCCAGTATGTGTGGGTGACAGTGTGTATGTGTGCCAGTCCAGAGTGTGTATCTGTGTCACTGTGTGTGTATCTGTGTGTCAGTGTGTATGTGCCAGTGTGCCTGTGTGTGTATCTGTGTGTCAGTGTGATTGTGCCATTGTGTGTGTCTCTGTGTGTATCTGAGTGTGTGTATGTGCCAGTATGTGTATCTGTGTATCAGTGTGTCAGTGTGTATCTGTGCCAGTGTGTTAATCAGTGTGTGTGTCTGTGCATCAATGTGTGTGCCAGTGTAGGCATCTGTGCATCAGTATGTGTCAGTGTGTATGTGCCAATGTGCCAATGTGTGTATCTGTGTCAGTGTGTGTGTGTGTATGTGCCAATGTGTGAATCTGAGTGTGTGGATGTGCCAGTGTGTGTATCTGTATCAGTGTGTGCATGTGAGTGTGTGACAGTGTTTGTATCTGTGTATCAGTGTTTGTGTATGTGCCAGTGTTTGTGTGTGTATCAAAGTGTTTGTGTATGTGCCAGTGTTTGTGTGTGTGTGTGTATCTGAGTTTGTGTATGTGCCAGTGTTTGTATCTGTTTCAGTATGTGTATCTGTGTGTCAGTGTTTGAATATCTGTGTCAAGGTGTGTGTGTGTTCCAGTGTGTATCTGTGTGTCAAAGTGTGTGCATGTGTCAAGTTGTGTATCTTTGTGTCTGTGTTAGTTTGTATATGAATGTGTGTGTATATGTCAATGTGTTTATATGAGTGTATCTGCATGTAGCAGTGTATGTGATTACATCCCAGCAATCAAACACTAACACAACATGCAAACACATATATATATATATATATATATATATATATACAAACATAAACAAAACACCAATACTACACACAAATGTACATCCCTATTTAAATATCAAAACTACATCACAACACACCCCTGCACGCAAATGCAAACATTACATACAAACACACCCCTGTATTGAGAAGCTAAAATTACATACAAACACAACTTTACACAAAAAGGCTCCTAAGTACTACAATCTGTTTACTATCTGTAGAAATTAGTGTACGTATAGCAAAAAAAAAAAAAATGGGGTGGTCCACAATGTTGGTACACTATGTCAAAGAGTTCCACGTGAATAATTAAGTGGGAACCTCTGCTCTAAGGAGATGAGATAAGGGTTAAGTATGTCAGCTGTTATCTATTTTGAATGTGCTCAAGATATTGTTTCAAAGGATTTCTTCAAACAGTGTAGGTATCAAAATGTTTTTATTCCTATTTGTCACCACTAGATGGCAATGTTTGAAAGTAAAACTAACTTGAAAATAACATTTTACCAACAGTTCTTACATAGAACTCTTATCTAGATCATTTTATAGAGTTAGTTATGGGATGTTTTAAATTCGCCTTTTTTTTTTTTCTAAGATCTTCGCTGATATCAGTTCTACAGAAAAAACAAAGCAGCAGAGCCAACTGAAATAGTAGGCCAACAGCACTTTGCACAGTGGAAGAATGTCTACTGAAGAACTTGCAAAGCACTTTCCACAAACTTGGTCCCTCTTTTTCCCTGGCGAGAGACACTGGACCCTGAATTTAGGGCAGTCCCACCAAATCTGGGACACTTGGGATGTATGATGATGCACAGCTACTGAACTCTGGTTTAGGGAGAGAGACATGGATGGAAGATGAATGGTAGAAAAGAAACAGAGTTGACATGACCCATCAGTTGATCTCACTTTGACTTCTAATGGTCGCAGTTGGACATGGCCTGACCTTTACTGCCATAAAAGTGTAACAAAAAAACATTAACAGACAAAAAGACATTAAGAAAGTATACAGAGTATTAATTACCTCTTCATGTGCCTCACACCCTGTAACAACAATGTTGGGACGGAAATTACGAATTGTGACCATCTTCTGTAGTTTGGTGTTCAGATTATCAACTGAGGCTTCAGACATCAGAAGAAGAGGACTCAGGTCAGGATACGCCACCTGAACGAAGGTGTGAAAAGGATCACTATCGATTTACTGAAACAGCTCATTTAAAGAACGTGATGGGCTGGAAACAAAGATGGTAGTTTGTCAGACCAACAGTTTATGTTTCTTTGATGTTTTTACAAAAAAATATGAAGTGCATTCCAATTATTATGTTGGAATTGCTCCCATATGCATTGAGTACACCATATATTATAACGTACATGGTTTATTCAATGTAAAATATAAAGATTTACCCACATTTTGTCCATTTTAGCACTGCTTCATGGGTGTTACTCTTCGTGTATCACCCACCTCCTGGCAGTCTTCAGCTCCACCTCGGCTCCTCCCATAGTCTTCTTTGATTTTCCCTGCTTGAGATACATCCCCAAGGAGGGCAAACCTTGTCAGTGACATTGGCACTCCCCTCTGTTCCTATACTCCCTAACCAGCGCAAGAAGCACTGGCTAGGGAATTTCTATAGCAACCACTGCACATGTGTTGTAAATGCTATGAGAGGAGAGAAGGACCTTCTGTGGGAGGTCTTTTCTGCTCTCCCTTGTCAGTCAAACCCTCGGTTTGACTGACAACTGTGGGAAAAAAAACATTTTTAAAATGGCTTTTCTCTTAAACTATAAATCTGCTAACAAAACTGCTAGCACAATGTGTAGGCAGAGGCTTATGCTCAATCTAATGAGCATGAGCTGTTTGAGGCATGACAGGTTCCTTAAAACCATTACTAACTGACTCAGATACTTCTTCAAATATTATACCCTGGTATGTCCAAAACCAAAAGGTTAAAAACCTTTTAAAAGTATCTACTGAAGTTGATAGCACTATCTATCTAGGGATGCAGCAATTGAATTCCAAATATCTTTTTTTTTTTTTTTCAACTGTACAGGATGCTTACATTTGTAATATCCACCTACATATTTTATTGTGCAAATCTATATGTTATTATGTTATGAGAAAACATATTGAGTTTTCCATGATCTTGTTAAATTAGAGGCCAACCTTTAATTTTCAAATCTATGCAAGCAACACTATTAAACTTACAGAATAACAAACATGCATCTGCAGTTTCTTTCCAGTAGAATGCGAATTTGGTTCTGTGAATTTAGTAAAATCTCCATAACAAGAAAAATCTAATAATGTGGGTTATGTTTAAAGATGAATTCAGTAAAATTCTAAAGGTGCGGCAATCACTATGGAAACCAAATTCATTTTTCTGTGCAGCCCTAGGATGATTTTAAAAGTTGGAAAAGGTCCATAATGTTTTTAAATTGGTTCTGTCACTTTATGACCCTGTTTAAAGGGACACTATAGGCACCAAAACAACTTTATGTTAATGAAGCAGTTTTGGTGTATAGATCATGCCCCTCAAGCAGTCTCACTGCTGAATTCTCTGCCATTTAGAAGTTAAATCACTTTGTTTATACAGCTCTAGTTACACATTCCTGAATGTAACTTACATCCTTCCTAAACACTTCCTGTAAAGAGAGATATAATGTTTAAATTCATTTTTTGCACAGTCTGTTTAAATTAAAATTAAAATTAAAATTTTAGTATCTCCTATTAACAGCCTGACATAATCTCCAGAGTGATTAAGGTTAATTTTGCAGAGCAGGAGATACAAAATTCTAAAGCAAGTTAACATCTGAGTAAAACAAATAAACCTTTTTTCATACAGGCTGTGTTAGTCACAGCCAGGGGAAGTGTGGCTGGGGCTGCATTGACAGAAAAAAAGTGATTAACTTCTAAATGGCAGAGAATTGAACAGTGACTCTGCAGGGGCATGATCTATACACAAAAAATGATCAATTGAGCTAAGATTGCTTTAGGGCCTATAATATCCCTTTAAGTATTTACAGGGTTATTCGCTAGTGAAGGGTTATGCAAAGTGAGTTTAAGGCGAATTTCAAATTTAAAGGGACATTATAGTCACCAGAACAACTACAGCTTAATGTAGTTGTTTTGGTGAGTATAGTATGTCCCTGCAGGCTTTTTAATGTAAACACTGCCTTTAAAAAAAAAAAAAAAGGCAGTGTTTACATTGCTACCTAGGAGTACCTCTAGTGTCAGTCACTGAAACAGCTACTAGAAGTGCATCCAGGGTCAGTGCTGAACGCTCCCCATAGACAGGAGGAGATGCTGATTGGCACAGCTCAGCGTTTTTCCGCACATGTATAATAGCCTTCCAATGCTTTCCTATGGCAAGCATTGGATTGGCTGAAATCGTCAAATATGATCATCTCAGCCAAGGATGCAGGGTGGGGCCAGCAGCGAAAAGAACAACGCAGCACTGGAAAAAAGGTGAGTAAAATTACTTTTTAAGGGGAGACAAGGAGGCCCAGAGGCCTAAAATGTGTTTTTACATCTATAGTATCAGGAATACATGTTTCTATTCCTGACACTATAGTGTTCCCTTAAAGTCAAAGTAGCTGAAATGGAAGAAATCAGTTATGTTGTCAGTTCAGCTACTCTAGCCTTGAATTTTAAATTCACTTAAAATTTTCCCTTTAGTGTATAAACGTGTAAATCATTTTCTGTACATGCAGTTTTTCAATTTTTTTTCCAATTAATGTATTTACTAATATAGACTCTTGTTGGCAAACTTTTCAATTGTATAATACAACTGTTTACTTTATCCTCCCCCTAAAATTAAATACCTTCACTTAACTGCATTCTTCTCATTTGTGTTCAGAGTCCTTCCATCCATTAACCCAACCAACAGGTTAAAAACAAAACTTTCATTTTAACTAAGCTCTATCTCACCCACCATATCCTCCTGTCTCCCAGTCTGTCCCCAGCTTAATTTATAGCATGCTTCTCCAGCCACTTAAAGGACCACTATAGTGCCAGGAAAACATACTCATTTTCCGGGCACTATAGTGCCCTGAGGGTGCCCGCACCCGCCCGGCTCTGGAAGGGGGAAAGGGGTAAAAACGTACCTTTTTCCAGCGCTGGGCGGGGAGTTCTCTGCCTCCGATCCTCCTCCTCTCCTCCCCGTCGGCTGAATGCGCACACGCGGCATTATCATGTGGAATGCGCTTCTAGTCCTCAGTGCTTATCAATGCTTTCCTATGGATGCTTGTGTGCTCTCACTGTGATTTTCACAGTGAGAATCACGCAAGCGCCTCTAGCGGTTGTCAATGAGACAGCCGCTAGAGGCTTTGGGGGAAGGCTTAACCCATTCATAAACATAGCAGTTTCTCTGAAACTGCTATGTTTATAAAGAATGGGTTAAGCCTAGCTGGACCTGGCACCCAGACCACTTCATTAAGCTGAAGTGGTCTGGGTGCCTAGAGTGGTCCTTTAACATCTCAGTTACCTCGCCATTCTGATTATATCTAACCAGTGGTTACAATTATCCTTTAATATTCTCTGGCCATCACCTTCAAATTCCCCTGCTACCTCTTGTGTCAGTTCCCATTTTCAGGTTGTAAACTCCTGGGCTATCCAGCTAATAACTTTGTATAAAAGGCAGGGACGTATCTTCCGCGAGGCAAACAAGGTAAGCCTTGAATGGCACTTTGCAGGGGGCGGAAAAAAAGCCGCCCTCCCCTCCCCCCCCCCACGCCCAGGCAGATCCCTTGTTTGCCTCTTTTCCTTGGGGGGCTCAAGATCTGGCCATCTGGCCACTTTTGAGCCCCCCCACAAGGCGGGCGCGGGCAGTGAGGGAGCATGCTCATCTGAGCTCTTTCTGCTCAGCTCCCTTGCGCACCGCTTAATGAAGCCGGGAGCCAAAATATGACGTCACTCAGGCTCCCGGCTTCAATAAGCAGCGCGCAAGGGAGCTGAACAGGAAGATTAAAGCTCCCTCGCCGCCTACTCAGCCTGTCCACCCCCTGCCTGCCCGCCCAGCAGCCCCACTGGACTGCAGGTAAGCAATCCACTCCAGCTCTCCCAGGGAGGCTGGGTGGATTTAAAATAAAATTTAAAAAATTATAATTTGTGAGTGTTGGTGGAAATGTGTGTGTGTGTGTGGCGGAACCAACCTCGCCACTGTAAACTGGAGAAGCCTGGTTGCTCGCCTGGTTGCTCGCCTGCTCCCTTTAGACTATGGCCCTGCAGTTCAGAGCTGTTATTTTCCCTGCTGAAAGGTTTATTCGTGCCTTTCTGTCAGGGGGTTCGGTAGATTCCATCTACTGAACAAACTACCAAACGATGGACCACCTGGGAGCTGGAGTGTGCCGTCAATTGACCGCCCAGAAGCTGCGGTTAACCGCAGCTTAATTGATGAACGCTGGGTGGCCTTTGTTCGTCTGCCGAACACGTGGCAGTGGCCATTTTACCTCCCGAACGGCCAGCGATGTTTAGCGCCCAAACTATCGAACTGAAAACGGACACTTATTGGCACGAATACCGCTGAGCCGCCAGCTTCCTTATAAATGCCTGGAATAAAAATCATAAATAAATTATATAAGACTATTAAATAAGACATTACACTAGCCTATATTTGACTAACCTTATCATGATCTGTGTATTTCTCATACTCGTTCTTTGGGTTCCTGGGTTTCATATTGTCCTCAAACTGAACCAAGCGATATACCTCTTTACTTTTCAAAAAGCTGGTGATCCACTGAGAGGCTTTATCACCACAATCCCTGCCACAAACCTCATTGCCGTGAACTCTGAAAATGAATCATATGTGAAAAAGGGTGAGGAAAGCTAACACGATCGTAAAACATATTGAGATGAAATGATTTATTCAATTTGCATACTGCCTATATATTCACAATGCAGTACTTTGATATATTAAAGAGAATGTGTGATATCATGACAACATTGTGGAATACATTAGTCATTCATCATAGAATACCTCCAAAATCAGGGCAAATTAACTGAATACATTATTTCTTTCAAATGTTCTAAATACTTTATTTAAATTGTGAAAATCATATATTAGAATAACCACTATCTGAAACAAACACCCAGAAACCACATCCACCACCAACCTCTTAACATGTTTTGCATGTTATAGTAAATAGTCATAGGCAAATTTTAATAGTCTATGCGATCAGGTATTTTTTGACCAATATGATGGTGTGCTGGTACTGGTAAATGAACTAGATATTTGGTATCTACAGGGTTTTGGTCTGTGTTTATCGCACATTATGTCCTGAAATTCCCTTATGGTAATCAAGCATGAATTTAAGAAATCAGCTCTTGAAATTTTGTATAATTTTGTTTATTGTTACAGTGGAATTATTGGACAATGCAGACCAACGCATGTAGCGGTGAATTATTTTTGTGAGTCTCCAGAAGTTCAGTTGGAGAAACAGATCATTCCTATAATCATACTAATGTGTGAGAGACCAATTTATAGCCTGGAGAATGCGTTGCTTTCAAACTCAGTGAGCCTAATTGAAGAACAATCCTGTAGCCCCATGTAGCCAAAGCGCAGCTAAGCGAAAAAAGGCCTTGACAGGGGTTAGGAGGCGGGCATAGGAGGAGGGAAGGAAGTATGGAGTTATGGGTAAGTAGGCTTGGCTATTTAAATAGGCAGCCATTTTAAAGCCTTCACTTTTAATTACTACCTTGCTGAGTTTGTGTGCACTCCTGTGTCCACAGATTTGGTTTGGTGGGGTCTTTGTTTTTCTCTCCTTCTGCAGGGTCGAAGGATAACATGGAGGAGCTGTTGGAGCGGATCCGGTTGGCGGCTCAAGGACGTGGCGTGGACTGGCTGCGGGCGCAACTTGGACCGGCCCTGGCGGGTGCTGCAGATCATGAGGGCGGCGGAGGTCGGCCTGTGCGGGCTCGGAGGCCGCCGAGACGGCTGAGCCCAGGCGCGGAGTCCGGTGGAGACGGTTCCAGCGGCCGGGCGGCGGCGGGACCAGGCCGAAAAGGACCCGGTAGCCGCATGGTTGAGGCTCCGCCTCCCGGCGCGTTACCGGGACGTCGGAGAAGCGGTAGCCGGCGGGAGGCTACCCGGGAGTCGGACGGTGCGGCTCCCAGTGCGGGGAGGGCTGCGCCTGGAGCGGGGGCCGCGGAAGACATCGGGCGGCCCCCTGGAACCGGAGAGGACGCGGGATTGCAGCCCGGGAGGGCGTCTCCTACACCCATGGCGGGGACTGGCGGGGCTGGTGCGGGAGGAGCTCGCGGACCGCCCCTGGAACAGGCAAGTGCAGGGGGTTCCGGCCGGGACCCCCTTGGCGCGAATCAGCGCAGGAGGACTGGGCACAGGGTTCAGAGACCTGGGGGGGACATGGAGAGGGGTCAGGTTCCGTCTAGAGCGGGGGCAGAGAGGCCTAGGGGGGAGGGTGCGCAGGGTAGTTCCAGGGTAGTGAGCATGGAGCGAGGGCCTGTTACCGGGAGGGTGGAAGGGCCAGGGGGTACGGCAGGGGGAGGTTTGCCATCGGGTGGGGGCAGGAGGTCGAGGTGCGCAGGGCGTTCAGGACAGGTTAGGGGTGCGGGGTCTGGGGACGGTCTAGAGGTACCGAGGGGAGGGGGTTCTTCTAGCCGGGGGGCCCGCCGGGGTGGGGGGTGGGGATTTCCCTGCGCTGGTGAGCGGCTAGGTGGGCGTAGTTCTGGGGGGGGTTCAGGTTTGGGGTCTGGTGATAGCAGCCCGTCACCGGTTAGGGCCCGGGGGTTCGGGGGGGTTAAGGGAAGGGCTCGGCGTGTTAGGTCCTCTTCTAGTAGCTCAGGGGGGGAGAGGGTCATGGCCCCCAGGCTGGTTACACGGGGGCGGGCCTCTGGTAGGAACGGGAGGAGTCGTAGTCCCAGAGGCAGGGCCGATCGGGCCTTGGGTGGGCGAAAAGGAGTGGTTGCGCGACGGGAGGCTCTGGTGTTCAGCGGGCGCTCTCAAGGTCGGGACGGGGGGGCTGCTCATGACCAGTATGCTCTGCCCAGGACTTCTTCTCCTCGTTACAGATCTCGGAGCCGCTCCGCCTCTGATGTGGCCGGGCACCGGGTTGGCTCCCCGGTTGGAGGATCGTTGACGGATGTCGCTCATCCTGGTCAGGGGACGGTACACAACGCAGCCCCAGGAGCTTCGGGGTCGAGGGGCTTGGCCGGTGAGTCCTCTGCTTCTCTGCACTCCAGTGCATTGGTTCATACGCTTCAAGCACTTCTCCACTCACTGGGAGCGGGGGGTGCCACAAAGGGCGGTGTGGGTCAGGTTTGGGCTCAGGGGGCTGGAGTGGCGGGCCCGAGCGAGGTTCCCTCCGCGGAACAGAGTTCGGGTGGGGACACTGCAGTGACGGTTACTGGGGCGGAGGCGACGAGCGAGCGGGCTGAGTTGACGGGGGGGGTGGTTCCTGATGCGGCCAGGCAACACGCATATGTGTCGTTTGCGGGTCCGCTGGGGGTCCACCTCAAACAGGAGGTGAAGGAAAAAATCTGGAAGGGTGACTTCTGCGAGATCTTTTCTCTTCTCCCTTTGGAGGATTTTATTGATCTCAAAGAGGACGATAAAAAAGATGAGAAGAAGGAGGAGGAAGAGAAGAAGAAGCGGTATCGTAAGATTCCCAAGTCTTTCGGTAACTGGCTGAGGGCCTTTTGCGTGTTGGCCAGTGTTCTGGGCGAGAAATCGCCGGGCCTGTGCTCCTCCCTGTTTTGTTATTTGGATGGCATTTGGGAGGCGTATCGCACCTATGACGGACTGGCATGGTGGCGGTATGACGAGCAATTCCGGCAGCGTTTGGCGGCTAATCCGGGTATGCGGTGGGATCAAATGGACCTGCCTCTCTGGATGAAGCTGATGATGGCGCAAAAAGCGCAGCCATTTCAGCCCATGGCCGGCGCAAAGGGGCAGTCCGCCTCGTCGGCCGCCATGCAAAAGGGCTTCTGCTGGCTCTTTAACGAGGGCCAGTGCAAATGGGGAAACGCCTGTCGCTTTAAGCACGAGTGTTCGGGCTGCGGAGGCGCGCATGGGCTCAACCGGTGCTTCAAAAAAGGGAAGTCAGGGCACACCGGGGTCCCTACCTCGGCTGGGGGGGGAGGGGGAGTTTCGCTTGCCCCGGGGCCTAACCCCGGTGAGGCTAGACGCGATGGAGCCGTGGCTAAGCCGCTACGGTAATAAGGCAGATGCCGTGGCGCTCCGGGCGGGGTTTGGTCAGGGGTTCTTTATCCCTTTCCGGAACCGGGGGGGGACTGGGGTTCGGCGCAACCTTAAATCGGTGGCTGAGTTCCCGGGTGTGGTGCGGGAAAAGCTGGGCAAGGAAGTCAAATTGGGGAGGATGGCAGGACCGTTCCCGGCTCCTCCATTGGAGGGTCTGCGGGTTTCCCCACTCGGGGTGGTTCCCAAGAAGGAACCGGGCAAATTCAGGCTCATTCACCACCTCTCCTACCCGGAAGGAGAGTCGGTGAATGATGATATTGACAAGGACTTGTGCTCGGTCTCCTACGCATCATTCGACAGGGCGGTCGAGCTGGTAAGGAGGGCCGGGCGCAGGGCACTGTTGGCTAAGGTGGATATTGAAGCAGCGTTTCGGCTGCTTCCGGTCCACCCAGCGTGTCATCACTTGCTGGGGTGTTTCTTCGACGGGGAGTACTTTGTGGATTTGTGCCTTCCGATGGGTTGTGCTATCTCCTGCGCCTACTTTGAGAAGTTTAGTACATTTCTTGAATGGGTGGTCAAGGTTGAGGCGGGGAGTGGGGCTGTGGTACACTATCTGGACGATTTTCTCTGCGTGGGACCAGCGGGCTCCCCCGCCTGCCTACACTTGCTGAGAACGGTCGAGTGGGTGGCTGGCCATTTTGGGGTCCCGTTGGCGGCGGACAAGACAGAAGGGCCGGCTCCGTGCCTTAGTTTTCTGGGGCTGGAGATAGATACGTTGCAAGGGGAGTGTCGGCTGCCGTTGGAGAAGTTGCGGCGGCTGAGGGAGGAGGTGACAACGGCGGCTCAAGCCCGTAAGGTTACATTGCGGCAGCTGCAGTCGTTGATCGGGATGCTGAATTTTGCATGCCGGGTGATCCCAATGGGTAGGGTGTTCAGCCGGAGCCTGTCGGCAGCGACGGCGGGGGTGCGATCCCCGCGTCACTTCATTCGGGTGTCGTCGGCCATGAGGGCCGACTTGGCCGTATGGGAGACCTTTTTGCGGGAGTTCAATGGGACGGTGATTTTTAGACAGGAGGGCGTGTCGGCTGCGGAACTGGAGCTGTTCACTGACGCGTCTGGTAGCGTGGGCTTCGGGGCTTATTTTGGGGGACGTTGGTGTGCGGAGCGATGGCCGGGGGAGTGGCGAATGAGCCCCCTCATGCGGAACTTGGCTTTCTTGGAGCTGTTCCCGCTGGTCGTTGCGTTGGCCCTGTGGGGGGATAGGCTGCGGGACCGGAAGGTGGTCTTTTTCTCGGACAATATGGCCGTGGTGCACGCTGTGAATAACCAATCAGCGGCATCGAAACCCGTGGTTAGGTTGCTACGTCATTTTGTTCTGTTGTGCATGTCGCTAAATGTTGTTTTTCGTGCACGCCATGTGCCTGGGTTCATGAATGATGTAGCTGACGCCCTGTCTCGTTTTCAGTGGTCACGATTCCGGACGGTGGCGCCGGAAGCCCAAGAAGTGGGGCAGGCTTGCCCAGACGAGATTTGGCGGCTCGGGGCGACCTGCTTGGGGGACTGGTGAAGGCTTCGCTGGCGCCGGCCACATGGGCCGCTTACAGTAAGGTCTGGGACTCCTGGGAAAGGTCATGGGAAGGGTTGGACCGCCTGCCGGCGGGGGAATCGCTCAAGGATGCGTTCCTCTGGTACACCTGTCAATTGCTGGCGAAAGGGGTATCCCCGGCGGTGGTTGACAGGTCCATGGCGGCGATGGCTTTCTGGTTCAAGCTACATGGGGAAGAGGACCTTACTAAGGCCTTTGTCATAAGGCAGGCACTGAAGGGGTACCGGCGGGGCCGCAGGCGGCCTGACACTCGGCGCCCAGTATCGGTGCGAGTGTTGAGTGACCTGGTCGGTTTATTGCCTACTATATGTTTCGACAGGTTCGAAGCATCGTTGTTTCAGGCGGCGTTTCTGTTGGCCTTCTTTGGAGCCTTTCGGGTAGGGGAGTTGGTCAGTGCCACGAGGACTGCGGCAGGGGGGGTACAGGTGTCGGGGGTCCGAGTGCTGGAAGGGAAGGTGGTTGTACACCTGGCAAAATCCAAGACGGACATGTTAGGCAAGGGCCGAGATGTGACGCTGCGGGCCCTGCCGGGCTCCGCTTTGTGCCCAGTGGCCGCAGTGGCGGGGTACATGGCACGGAGGCCGGGGGTTGGAGGATCGCTGCTGGTACACGCGGACGTGTCTTCCCTCTCCCGGTTCCAGTTCACCAAGGTTTTTCGGTCTGGACTGGGAAAGCTAGGACTGAGGGTGGATACTTTTGGTACACACTCCTTTCGTATTGGGGCGGCTACGGAGGCAGCTCGGTTGGGTCTGGGGGATGACATAGTGAAACGGATTGGGAGATGGGAGTCGGTACGGTTCCGTTCATATGTGCGCTTGGGTTTATTGGAGTAAGATGGTGAAGGGCCTTTGGGGGGATCCCCGGGGGCTGGGTGCATAAGGGGCTGTTATGATCTGTTTTCCTTCTCTCCCCCAGGCCGTGTCGCATGGATCGTGGGCCATTCATTTGTCTTCTGGGCCGAAAGGAGGGCTGCAGCTCGAGCTCAGGGCCACCAGCTGGGCTTTCATCGGGACCAGTTGGCAGTACAATGGTTCGGGTACAGGGGTTTTTGTTGGGGGGAGGTCTGCGGAAGGGTGTTCCGGATGGTAGCAGGCGGGCAAGGCCGGACCTGCTGGTGCTCCATGCGGGGGGCAACGACTTGGGCCTCACTCTGCAGCGGCGGCTGGTGAAGTGGATGAAGCAGGACCTTAACAGTTTAAGGGACCTACTTCCGGGGGTGATGTTGGTCTGGTCGGAGATTATCCCTAGGAAGCGGTGGCGGCATGCTAGGGACCCGGAGGCTATTGACAGATGTAGGAAGAAAGTGAATAGCTTGATGGCAAGCTTCGTGCGGAAGCTAGGGGGTGTGGTAGTTCGACACAGCGAGTTGGAAGGTGGTTTGCCAGGGTACTACCGCTCGGATGGAGTCCATCTCTCGGCAGTTGGTTGGGATCTGTTGACCCTGGGCTGGCAGGATGGCATGACTAAGGCTCTTTTTCTTCGGGGTGGCGGAGCTCAGACAGCTTAAGGAGTCAAGGTCTGAGCTTGTGGCGGGATAGGGAGCTGAAGGAGAAGAAATAGGCTCCCTAGGATGAACGTCATGGAGACGTAAAACTGTGGTCATTGGTGGTTGGTAGGTTCCGAGTCCTGTCGGTGGCTCAGAATCTGGTGGGGCAGGGGTATCCGGGTATACCCCTGCCATGGTTAATTTATGTTTGGCACTTTAAGTTGGTATGTTGGAATATGTTGATACGTATGTTATATGTATATGTATATATGTTATTTATATGGGGGTCATTGCCTGTTATATTAACAGAAGGATTCGGTTACGAGGGCGGAGTATGGGGGCAATGACCCATGTTTATTGTTAAAATTATTATTGCTTAATAAATTATTATTATTCAAGATTGTTTAAATAAAGCTGTGGACAAATTTTCCCATATACCTTTGTGTCAGTGAGTTATTGGGTTAGGTATGTGGGAGGGTTGTCCTGGAGTCCGACTGCCCATATGGCGACTATACACCGGTCATGTATGGCAGACAACCAGCCTTACTGATTGGGAGCTCTTTGAGCAGGGCCTTCTTCACACTCTGTTAATTTTTGTACGTCAATTCCTTGTTGTCATATTTCCCCATTCAATAACTGTAACACTCTGGGGAATATGTTGGCTCTTTATATAATAAGAGATATATATTTTTGAAACTCTCTCTACAATTAGCAGAAGTGTCTGGTATAGAACTTTGCAGACTTGAGTGTGTTTAAAGTGCTTGTGCTGCCATTTATGGGGACATCACATGTTTGAGAACACTAGAGACAAAATCTGGGAATGTCTTACATGGGTTCAAAATCATTACTGTCCCACAATACCCACCACAACTGGCAGGTATAGTGGAGATTTTAAAAAAAGATTAAGGTCAAGGAAGAGATATAAACTACACACTTTGTTCATATGTTTTATTTTCCTTTTTTTAAAGGGACTCTGCAGGCACCCAGACCCTTTCATCTCAATGCAGAGCCCCTGTCATTTTAGAGCAAAAAAACGGGTCGCAAGAGTATTCTGAGAACGGACAGCAACTGAAATAACCTGCCCTTCGGTGGATCCCCGCTCAGAACTCAAGCTGGTTTTAGTTCATCTTGTGCCATTACAGAGAAAACATCTCTGAAATATATCAGACTGGTCCCACCCATACGGGCAGTCCAGATCCGAAATGTCAGCAAGTTCCCTCTGCACGAGAGACACAGCAACCCCAGACGATCGTTTCAGCCTTGTTAGGCATCATCAGTGAGGCAAAACTGATATCTCTCAGTATTCGCTTGTGCCCTGTTTTTTGCTCTCCCCTGTCAATTTAGCCCTGCAGTGTAACACATTGCCGTTCAGTAGCTAAACCAACGTTTTCATTGCAGGGCTAAACACACCTCTAGTGGCTGTCTTCCAGAGAGTAACTAGAGGCACTTCCGCTGTGAGAACCAAGTCAGACTAGTCACCTTCTCTGACTCATTATCATACAAGGTATTCATGTGGAATGCGCTTCTAGTCCTCAATGCTTCTCTGCGAAACAGTGACAACTGACAGATGACGTAACAGGAGAAAGAAAGAGAGGCTACACTGAGTGAGTCTCAGCGCTGGAAAAAAAGGTAAGTTAAATCCCTCCCCTAACCCCTTTTTCTTTCTTTTTTAAAAATAATTTAGGGGTCACTTGATTCTAGCAGTGAGAAGAACACTAGAGCATTAGGAAGCTAACGCTATTGTGTTCCTTTAAAAGTAAGATTGCCCTATCACCTTGCTTTTATATAATATGTGGAAATGAGAGAAGGTGTCCTGTATTTAAAGGCTCATCCAAGACCTCAAACATGCATACAAATTATGCAGAAGACAATATGTTTAAAATAACTGTGCTCTTCATTTAGTTTTGATCCAGAAAGCAGTGGACCTTTCATTAGAGACTGATTTAGAAGTGTTTCCCTAAAGTTCAAAACGTTGGAGCCATTTTGACAGAGCAATTTCTTGAATTCCAGCTTACAATAGCAGGAGAGTAAGAGCATCTTACGCACTTGCAGGTGAATATTCCATTCGATGAGGGGAGCTTCAGTGGGATTTGCAGGTGTTCCATTTCTGGTGCCCTGAGGGTTAATTTATCCTTGTCGCAGGAAGCCGTAATCAGCACCATTTGTGGTTCCTGCCGAGCTGTAACATGCACTTTGTTCTCTTTTACAACAAGCCAATGTCTGCACATGAAAAACATGTTATATTAGAATTGTGCAACTGGATCCTGGCAGCTCAGAGAGCTATATTTACTGGATTATAATAATTTTGCAGCATTGCAAGATGGGCGGGAAACACACTACAAACGAATGCTTCGCCCAACATTGTGGCACAGAGTTTGTTTATGTCAATACACAACTTAAAGACAAAAACTGGCTAAACCTCACACAATTAATTTTTAAATGTTAGGTAAAGTTGCAGGTGCCATGGGACCCACCTGGCCACGCTGGCACCACAAATTAGTTTCCTTCATGAAATATAGGGAGACTGGACGCTTGCTTAAAGCTAAACTCAGCAGGGCGCAGGTGAGACGAGCACACCGTAGGAGGGAAAGGTGTACCTGTAGGGAGTGTGTGGGTCAGGGTGTGTGCATGTGTACCATTGTTTGAGAGAGAGAGAGAGAGAGAGAGAGTGTGTGTGTGTGTGTGTGTGTGTCAACCTGTGTATGCAACTGTGTGTGTCTTTCTCTTAGAGTGGATCTGTGTGGATGAGTCTGTGTGCATCTCTGTGTGGCAGTGATTGTGTCTTTCTATGTGTGGTAATGGGTATGTGTGTGACAATGCATGTCTGTAAGCAATATTGAACACAACACACCACTGCATTAAAATATTAAGCACTACAGACAAACATACCACTGCATCCAAAATTGTACACCAAAACAGCCCTATATGTAAACACCAGCACTACAAGCAAACACACCTCTGCATGTAAACATTAACCTTGTCCACAAACATACTCCTGCATTCACACACCAATAAAAACACCTTTGCATGCAAAAATCAGTATTATACATAAACATCCACACACATATACTCCATCCAAAAACATGACTATACTCACAGAGGCAGTGCTCAATAATGCAACAATGCACGGATGGGAAAATGTAGACCCACAGCTGGCAAAGCATCATGAGAGTTGTACGGCAGTTGTAGATCTACTTTTAGGCTACCCCTACTCTACAGGTGGTCCAAAAATGTTTTTTTCATGAGAGCCCTCCCTACATTAGTTATGCCACTGGAGCAATGCATCTTATTTACACAGACTAATTATTGCTGTGGAGCTAACTTTTATACTCAGACAACAATATGGAGCTCCAAAACAACATTCGGATATAAAAAATTCCCTACCCCCGTCACTTCCGGTGATGCTGCCTCACGGGAAGTAAGCCGAATGCGCAGTAGCACCATCAGAAATACCCTATCCCAGCAGCTCCCAAACTGTGTATATTAACAGGCACATAGGGGCTCCGAGGAATGTTTCCTCGGTGCTATAATTAGTGCCGCAGTACTTTAAGACTGCGACCAGGCACCTGTAATGTCAGTCGGCTGGGAGGAAGTGACAACCTTGGACACCAGCAAGCAGGACTCCAAGCCACCCCTCCAGGACACATTAGGTAAGATAACAGGAGGGAGGCTGGAGATATAAAAAAATATCCTGTGTGTGTGTGTATGAGTATGAGTGTGTGTGTATAACTGTGTGTATGTATAAGTGTGTGTGTGTATGAGTGTGTATGTATGAGTATAAGTATGTGTATGAGTGTGTGTACTTGTATATATGAGTGTGTGTGTATGTGTGTGTGTTTCAGGGTGTGCATCTGTGTGTGTGTGTGTATATATATATATATATATATATATATATATACACATATATATATATACATATATATATATATATATATGTCAGTGTGCTTGTGTGTCTGTGTGTGTGCATGTGTGTGTCAGGGTGTGTGTTTTTATCTCAGTGTGTATCTGTGTGATGGTGTGTGCTTGTATCAAAGTTTGTGTGTTTCAGGGTGCATGTGTGTATATGTCTGTGTGTGTTTATGCTGTGTCTATGTGTCGGTGTATTTATATGTATCTGTGTGTTAATGTCCATGAATATCTGTGTAAGTTTGTATGTATGTGGTTTGTATCGCTGTGGTAGTGTGTATGTGCATACATTCAAACACCAGCACAACATACAAGCACACTCCTGCAATCTAACAAAAATATTACATACAAACACACCCCTGCATTAAAATTCCAAAAAATGGTGACAGCCGACAAAGCTGGACGCATGGGACTCGAACTCCTCTGGAAATACAGCTAAAAACTTGAATTTCAGAGTGCAAACTTGGCACAAACCATATTTACCGCCTAAGGGAACACTCTGCCAATTGTCTGACCAACTTCTGCCTTGTTTCTGCAGACATTCATCGCGACAAATAAACCTGCGGCCTGCTGTTATACTGGAGGCAGGGGAGGCGGACGATCCTCTGCCCTTGTGTGCCAAAAACCTTATGGCCAAGCTCCGTTCCTCCCCCTTTGGACTGGTGGGGGTGTAGCGGATGGTACAGTGGCTGTCCTTAAAGACTAGGAGAATCCTGCAATTTGTGTGTTGTTTCTGCTTTGTATTTAATTGTAAGTAGCATTCGTATGATTGTTCGGTAGTTTCCATCTGTATTTCATACGAATGGAAACTACTGAACTAATAGACCACCCCAGAGTGAAGTGTGTCCCTCGTTAAGCTGCAAAGTACCTGCTAACCACAGACTAATAGGTGGTTTATGGATGTATCTGGGTGGCCGCCATTCGGCATGCGAACACGTGGCGGCGGCCATCTTACGCACGAAAGGCTCAGCAGTGTTTGGTCGTCGAGTGTCTGGAACTCAAATCGGACACCAGATTACCCGAACACCTCTGACACCTCCAGAGCTCCATAACTCACGAACGGGAAGACGAATCAGCCCCCTGTTCGGTGAGTTTAGAGTACCGAATGAGGGAAGTCATGCGAAGGTAACTGTATTAGTGGATGGCAAGTTTTTATGTGTCTTTTACCTCCCGAACGGAGACCGCATGGAACCTTTTTCGGATACCACCACGTGTGCGGTCGGTCAAATTTCACCCTCCACCTAACTCCCGAACCCCTGGTCTGATCTGGATGAATTTTGGATATGTTGGTCACCCAGATCAGGGCTACCAGGGGGTAGTATTGGTGTACCTGCTAATCTTGGGGAAAACTATAACCTGTATAATGGGATTAGGTGTCATACTAAGGGGAGGAGATGTGTGGGAGGTAACTGCTATTCCATTGGGTACAGTCTTAATGAATGTAAATCCATCCCTTGCATGGGAGAAATGCTTAAAAGGAGGTTGTGTGGAATAAACGTTAGTTCTGCTCCTGATGCTGTGTGTTGTTCAGTCATTGGGATCTGTATGGGGATATTCTTGGATTACCTTGCTTGCTGGAATTATTACTTTATGGGATTTTTCATCACGTTACTGGGATCTTAGTGGCGCTAACCTGTGAAATACAAGGCCTCCGCTACAGGGGGTTATGCCGGTCCCCACCGAATCGCTTGTGAATCCTTACCGGTAACACACCGTGGTATCAGGTGACTATGGGGCCCGAGGCATGCTCTTTAAGATGGCCGCCGTGCTTGAGCCTACAGCTTCTGAGGCCTCCTCACAGCAACCCTCCAGTGTGGATCCGCTTCTCCAAAAGTTTGACCAATTGTGGGAGTGATTATTGGAGACGCTAAGTAGCCGCGTGCTTCCTTAACTGCCCATAGGTCGGACTGAGGCCTCACAGGTCCTGACTTCCCCATGATGAAGCAAAGTGAAACCTCATTTGGAAATACCCATAATGGTGTTGCGGAGCAGGACACGCAAGTGGAGACCGCGACCAGTGACTAGGTCCCGGCGACCCAACTCTCAAGCTGACACATACCCACCTGAACAGCGTATTGCACGAGGAATCTCATCGCGGTACGACCTCCAAGTGCAGCGAGCATCGATGTCTCTCCCAGGACGCTCACCGGTCACAGCAATAAGTTCTAGACCTGTTCAGACCACAGGAAGCATTGTCCATTGTTCATCTTGCATGGCCTCAAGTACCACAAAGACATTCCTCCCTCTAATGGCATTGGCTGAGCAGGCTATGCTCCTCATATACAGCAAAATATATTTTACTATATGATTGCTAGAGTTTGATCTTATGTCCTGCAGTTAACCTCTCTAAGCACAAAATATGCTGTGGTGTGGACTCTCAGCTCTTAATCCGTAATTGATCCTGACCACACAGTGGTTTTTACCTCTTGTACACAGTTCAGCTATACAGCATGTTGCACCCTTTCTTTGTTTAATATGATAGCGCGGTGTTTCTCATGTTTTTTCTTTATTACTTGCCTTCTCATTTATTCAAAGTCTTGAAGAAGAAAAAAAAAAGTGCAGTACCTTAAACATTTACGGTTTAAAGCTTGAAAGTTAAATTCTGCAGTGCAAAAATAAAGAATTATAAAATTCAAAAAAATATTCAAACACACCCCTTCACTCAAACACACATCCGCATTTGAAAGTGAACATTACATTCAGACACACCCCTGCAATCAGACTCAAATATTACATACAAACACACCCTTATATCAAAACACGAAAAATATATACAAGCATCCCATCAAACACCAACACTGTACATTACACTATAGCGCCAGTAAACGCCGCAGCGCTGTACAGATATTCAACCTAGAAATTTTGACTTGGGGTGCCTTGGAAAAATATTGAAATATTAAGGGCGCCTTGAACCTAAAAAGTTTGGGAACCACTGCCCTACCCTGTACTGCAGATGTGTACCACACAGCTGATTCTGGCACATGTGTACGTGTACCATGAAAATACCCTACCCCAAAACTGTGAATGCACAGTTCCTCGTCATAATGACATGCCCCCTCATAAACACATGGGCACTTGGAATGTTCCTACACCAGAGCGTGTGCTGTGCACGCACATGGGGTGCATCCCTTACACCCCTCCTGGTTTGGCTCACTTCCGGTGCGGCCACTTCACTGAAAGTGACAAGAGTAGGGAATTTTCACGGGGATAGGGTTTTTTGATAGGACACCGGGAGTGTTGGGAGAAACTGAAAGTGGAAAAATTAAAAAGGAACCGATGTTTTTTTCCACATTTGTATCAAAACTGTAAACTGAATTTTTACAGGGACATACTCTGTCCAGCCAGGCACGTGTGCTGTAAATAAACAGCTAAGTTTTGCCACCTCGCCTGTTGGACTACATTTCCCAGCATCCTCAACCAAATAACTAGGAAAAAACTGCTTTAAAAAAACAAAGTTTATCCATCATTGCCCTATAGTGAGCAGATTTTTAACCCCTTAAGGACACATGACATGTGTGGCATGTCATGATTCCCTTTTATTATAGAAGTTTGGTCCTTAAGGGGTTAAATACTTCCTGTAGGGATACTCTAAATTTACTAAAGAGAGAATTTATGGGAAATCAACGTACCACAGAGGACACTGACCAAGCCACCTGGTACATTTCTTTCCCCATCAACCCACTTAAGGTCCAAAAAAAGCACATAATTAAAAGTGCCCTATAGGCAGATGACTGCACATCCAGCTTAGTAAGGGAGAAAGGAATTGACCTTTTGGTAATAGGCAAGGTAGAATGCCAGGTCGCTTATCCTTAAATGAGCTCACCAAATATGTCAGCTAGAAATGGACGATTTGTACCTGTCTTTCAGATTTCCACTCTGCAAGCCAAACGGTTTACACTCTGCTTCGGGTATGGATGTCCCTCTGCAAGACTTGATGGGGTACAGAAAAAGATGAGAAACTTCTCCCACCTTTCTGAGACTTCTTCTCCGCTTAGTTAGAAAGAACCAGCTGACTAGCACAGCAGCCCCAAGGCCAGTCACTGCCAGAAACAGTGTTGCTCTGGTCGGAGACAGAGACTCCATAATAAGATCTAGGTTTTGCCAAGCCCCTGAAAAAGGTCTCTCAGTTCTTTATATAAATCCAGGAAACCTCGCTTGTTATAGTATTCTGAAAAACAAAGCTGCAGTGTGTAAACAAGGTCTAATATCAGAAGTCAGAACTGGCAACTCTCCATGTAACAGGATCCTCCCCTTTTAGATAGTTAACTATTAGTAGTGATTTGAAATTGTAACTACTGTATTTATTTGAACTATTCAATGATTTTAAAAAGCAGAACATTAGCTTAAAGCAGGCATCTCAATCTCTACCCCCAGATGTTGCTGAACTACAACTCCCATGATTCTTTGGCCATAGATTACATTCAAAGAATTCTGGGAGTTGTAGTCCATTAATATTTGGTTGGATGACTTTGAGATCCCTGTCTTATAGGAACACTCTTGCATTGTATATATGTGTTTAAGCTTTGTGTGTCTATCAGAATACGTCCCAAGTGTTTTTATTTATGAGAGACAGTCCTCATAATTATGAGGGACAGTAATGTATCTTTAAACTACAATAAATGTGTTTGGAAATCAGTCTGTGTAAGTAACAAACATTGTTCTTGTTCTAAGTTATATTTTTTGTTTTATAAATTAAAAAATATTTCTCATTTCTTATATTGAAATATTGCCAGGTATGTGTCGGTGTGTATCTGTGTGTGTTTGGCATTGTGAATGCATATACTGTATTTGCAGTAGCTGTGAATCTGTGTCTGGGATAGCATATCTGTGTGTGTCTGGGAATGTGCGTATGTCTGTGAGTTTATTTCTGTAAGCATGTCTGGGCGCATGTGACAAGAGGCCCCCCCAAAGTGGTTCTGTATGGGGTCCCCATGCATTCTGTAGCTCTGTCAATATATATTTATCTACACAATTCTGTCACTGAAAGAGTTAAACATAACAGACACAGGTTAGATTGTAGCAACTATAAATTAAATCAAATCAGTATAAAACCAACTTTTAGAAGCAACCAAAAAGTTTTTATTTACACATTATGCTTTGTCAATTTAAAAGATATATCCCAAATGCACAATTTATCCATGACACAAAAATCTGTATAAATCTTATTAAAAGGCCCAAACAATTCTGTGATATTGAGGGGGGGGGGATTTTTTATATATGTATATATAGTTTTTTAACTTGTGTTTGCTGGAAGCTTACCCAAATAAACACTAAACGGTGTCTATGTCTAGAATGGATGTTAGCCCAAAGTACAAGCAGACATTTATTAGGATCCCAAATCCCAAATTGCAACATTTAGGCAAATGGCAAAAAAAAAAATTGTAAAATGCTCCAATTCTGCTGTGATCATAGTTTGGATATAATTACGTAAACAATCTTCTTTCAATTCACTATAATTCAAAGTTTTTCAAATAAATCCTAAAGTGGAGATAATATCTGTGCAAGGTAAGAGTGTCTGTATCTTTTTTCTATGGTTGTCTGTGAGAGTGTCTGAGTGTTAAAATGTGACTGTTCATAGAAGTGACTTTTACTAGAACTATAAAAACACATTTATCCATTTTTATATTAAATGAAAATAATAAATAGAATACGAGTGTTGTGTGAGCCGGTGTTATTCTTAGATTATGAACAGGGTGACTGAAGGCTACATATGGATATTGTCCCACCATTAAATTTAAAATAATAGATTAATGATACATTTAGAATTTATAGGCATGGAACACACTGAATGGGCACATGGGCATAACTACACAAGACAAACGGGAAAAACATTTGTAAACACAGACATTAAAAAGTCACCAGAAACACTTTGCTGTGTCCATGTGTTTCATAATGCACGTTACACAATTCAGATTAAAATGCTAACAATAGAATACAAATATTACATGATGGTTTATTCACTAAACAGTAAACTGTGGTGAATTTTAAAAAGAAAAACACAAACAAAGCACAACATCCAGGCCACATTAGCCAAAGTGTTTAATTTTGAAATGTTCAAAATCACCTACTTTGAACTAAATTTTCCACTTCGGTTTTTGGTTCACTCTTTAGTGAATAACTTCAATAATATGAAATAAGATTAAAAACTGTGAATAAAATACAACCCCTGTTTTCCTTTAAAATGTTACTCCAACCATGGTAACCGTTATGGCTGCAGTAGTGATTATGGTGCGGTTTCCGGTTAATGTTCCAGACTCACTAATGACACCACAATGACACCGACAGAGGTGGAATTCCACCTCCATCAACAGAGGGCTCAAACTTCTGCACATACAGACTCCAGGCACCATGATCACTTCAAATCACTGAGGTGGTAATGGTGCTTGAAGTGACCCGTTAAGCTTATCTACATATTTGTCGCCAAACATTTATATATTTCTTAGAGTGTTTGTGTGTGTACCTGCGCATTGTGTGAATCTGTGGCATTGTGTGTGTATGGCACTTTGTCTTGGAATGTCTGCATAGCAGTGTGTAATTGTGTGTGAGCCTGTAAGTGTTTGTCTCTCACAGGATTATTCTCTAAAGTGTAAATTCAAAGTGAATTTCAAATTCAAGATAAAATTAGGCAAACTGGAAAAATTCTATAAAACAGTTCGGCTACTTCGGCCTAACATTTGAAATTGACTTTGAATTTTAACTTTATCCCGGATAGTGTTTGTCTGGGTACATGTATGCATAACTAGAAACATGAATCTATGTATGTATTGATGTATGTATGCATGGGATTGTATATACATCGGATTTTCATCAGAATTATGGTACAACCACGGTTTACAAGTTTTAGTCTATGCATATAGCACAGCCATTTACATAGTTCTATAACCAGCCAATCACAAATAAGGATAGCCCACTGTCAACTCTACAAAAAAAGTAAGTGAAAAAGCTAGCCATGTAAGAATCCATGTAATATTAAAAACAGACAAAGTGCTTTTTTTTTTTTTTTTTAATTCAAATGAAGTCAGAAAAGATCACTTTGATTTACAGCCTATTTTCTAACAATGAATGTGAATACGGACAATCTCTCTCTAGTCTACATCTCTTTCTGGAACTCTCAGTATCGCTTTACTCACATGCATTATCTTCCTTACCAAAATCCAGAGACCCAAGACCATTCTAAAGCTTAAAGTGTAAAATAGGCGAACAAATTAGATTTGCCAAAAAGTACGTCAACGGCGCTCCCTAGAGGCATTCTCTGTGTCACGCACACACTATTGCCCTGTTTTAACCTTTTCCCTCTCACCTTCGTTTCATACATTCATCGAACCTACTGCTACATGCATTTACTCTCTACTTGTTTCATTGACACTCATTTTACAGAAAAATAGGCTTATTAAAATGACATATTAAAAGTGCTGATATTAGTCAGTCTAGTAGACATGGCTAACCCGGCTTTGCTTATCGACCAGAGCACAAAACACCTTATATTGAAAATAGTTCACCAATTCTAAGAAAGTTTTAATATGATGTTCGGACCCATCTGCCGTGAAACTCTATATGGTTTTGACATTACAGCCGACTCTTTTCCTCTTTCCTATTTTTATGCTGTAATTCAAAAATACCCTGCAATTGGAAAGGTATGGAGGACAGAGAAAGTGCTGCCCCAAGAATAGGGTGTAAAACATATCTCTATTAGAATAGCCAAAAGGGGCTGAATATGAATGAATATATCTATAAAAGATCTTTTTTTAAATCCCTTAGATACTCTGACACTCCCTATAAAATACACTGGTGGTAAATAAATGACAGAACAATCTAAAAAACAAGAAATACATTTATTTCAAGATATATTTTTTTGAGTCCTCCTCAGTTTCTAGATTGTTGTCTACTAAACCTTCACAAGTCTCCACACCTTTCCTCTTGGACCAATGTGATGGAACAGAGATGCACATAACCGTGTCCCCTTGGTATAATATATCCTAGTGTGACTGCAGGGTGACATAGAAAGGGTGATAGGTCTGTGTTATCAGAAACATGCGTTTGCATTCCTCTGCCTCCTAATAAAATTATATGGGTAATTTGTGTGGGAGTCTTCAAAAAGTGCTAGAACAAAGTTGCAGCATTTAAACCTATTAAAATGTTGGTTGGTTGGTTAGGAAGAAGAACTCAAATGCTTGAAATTACCAAGTTGCACATTAAAGAGGCAGATAATGTAAGGTCATACAATATTAAAAATCTTATAAAACCTGATGAACCCTCTAAAAATATATAATACAAAATAGATTGTTTTTAAAATATTACACAAAAAATTTAAAACAGTATTTAGACTGTTCACCCTGAACAAACTAATCTCCCCACTTTTCCACACTTTAGGCTAAAAAAAAAAAAGAGATTATTAAAAGCACACAGGACTGATATGTTTAGAACAGAAAAGCCACAAATTGATATATTGCACTAACAAATATAATCAGCACGTGAACCTCTATCCCAAGGGAAGGCAACCTTCAGCACACCAGATGTTGTGGACTTCATCTCCCCTGATGCCTTGCCAGCCTTATGGCTGTGAGAAAATTATGGGAGATGCAATACGCAGCACCTGAAGTGCCAAAGGTTGCCTACCACTGCTCTATTCCATGCTGATAACATAGAGAAGGATAGAAACGTTGTTCCAAAGTCCCACATTTCATGACATCATTGCTATCCAATGAAGACTCACTGTGAATAACTCCATCAGTGATGCTTTGAAAGTCAGATGTTCTTTAGCATCCCTAAGTCCAAGTTACATATTAGCTTTTATACGAACTTTATGATCGATCACCATTCTCTCTCCAAAACGGTCAACTGTTGTGTGCAGTCATTAGTATACCTAGTACAGAACATATACCTAATCTATAGCAGCTCTAGAATCAATACTGTTAACAAGGCAAGAAAATTATATCTACAGAATTATAATACATAGTGGTTACACAACCCACATATTTCAGTCTTTCTCAATTAACTCTTTGAATTTTAACAGTCTTAATTAGTTATAGTACATGTTTGATGTCTAGTTCTCTTGTTATCTAACTTGTCTTAAAATATGTAGGCTTTAAACATTATTAGAACATAATAACTGATACAGCTTTCTCTGAGTGACTTCTGACATTGTGTGTGAATTGTTAACATACGTGTTAGATTATAAAATTGTCAATGGGATTGTACAGAGTATCCGTTAAAACTGTGAAAAGAATGAAGGTAATTAAAATCCTTCGACGAGGTTCTGTTGGTTTAGTACTTCCCAAGTTAGTAGCAGTCCATTCTCGGTGAAGGTAGATGAGGTTCTTTGAAATGTTAAGACCAAGATAGTTTTTTCGAGCTATTGGCGAGACATTGATGACAACACTACAGTGGAAATGCCAAAAGGGGCCATGTATGCATTTGTCAAACCCTGGATTCCAATCAGCAGGTAGCGGCATCCAGTTCGGACTGCTTTGCCAACGTTCTATGAACAAACAGAATATAAAATTAAAGTTTACATGCAAGAGAAGTACAAAGATCATGTGAACATTAAAAAAAGACTGTTTGATCTGCAATCAATACAGTCTGCTTTATATACAAATGTTCCAAATGAAAATAGAGAAATAGATGTAAATATGAACAGCTTGGAAAGAGACCTACACATATACAGAGACATTGTAACTACTTCCCCCTAATATGTGTGTGTGTTTGTGTATATACATACATACATACATACAGTAAGCACGCTCCCAACTTATAAAGTAGACTGTTTCTAAGCATCCTGTGCCCTCATGTGGTTTGTCTGAGTCCCAATCGCTCATTTATACTGTCTTGTGCAATTTTCTGGGTTTTTTGGCCTGGCATCCCTGACCCAGATTTTTTCTTCTATTACCTGAAAGCCTAGAATGATTTGATCCAATATCTAAACTCTCATATCATGGCCCCGCTATCTTAAACGCTGCTAGTTCTCCACCTCTCCAGTAGCCAATCAGATGTTCACTCTCCTTTGCAAGTTACTGGGCCTGCTGTACAAGCTGAATATACACTTTGCAACAGATTGAAAAATATAAAATAAATAAGAAAATAGTCATTGAGTACCAGCAATTTTTAACAGCTCATTAAAATGTCACTTATAAGCAAGAATGGAAATACAGCATCTAGTGAAAGATACAGGACAAACAGGTATCCCAAATAAAAGTGAAACACATGCAACATGCAATTTGGATAAGAGCATCAGATGTCACGCTCAGACTATTATGCTCCCAATAAGGACGACAACATTTATACGACTAATGAAAAATGGGAATTCCTGCTTAGTGACATCTGGAACACAAGAACGACTGCCTGTTGACAAAGTAAAAGTCAAACCATTCCAAAGCTGAACGCTTGGCACCATAACCACTATAAACACAAATAGTTGTACGTAGGGTTTTCATATTTGCATGATGCCTATTATTTATTTTCTGAGTCAGGATTCTATACATTGAGAAAATGTCGGATTTCATGAAAAGAAAAAAAACACAAAAAACATTTGCTTTTTTCTGGATAATCCATATTCTAATGAAAGTACATTTTAATAATTACGTTGATCCACATTTTTTTTAAAGTAAATATGCCTTGGGGTAGGTCTGAGTAAACATGTTTTATTTCATTTGGCAATTTCCCCCAAGATCAAGAGTATTCTTTGCATTGAGCTCTGCAAGATGGAGCCTTTAGTTGAGGACGTTGCTACCTGATGACTCTGGACGATGTTATTTGACATTAATATTTAGTTTGTTTTCGTAATGAAATGCATCCAACTGGCCTCGACCATCTGACTCTTGTTGTAAATAATAATCAATCTGTTTAAATGATGCTGGAGGAGAGAGGGGCGACTAAATAAACGCACTATGGCAAGATACTTTGTGTCAGCTTGACAAAGGGCACATTACATGGAAATTAATATTAGATTTTTGTCTAGTGAATTTCTTCAAATTAAAAATATTATCCAACCAAGTGCAGCACTACTCACTGCAGTTAATGTGGACTAACAGGGCTTTGGTTTGGACTAAGTTTGTTAAGTTTATATTGGCTTTGTATTAGCTGTTGTAATGGTTATTAAAGCAGAATTATACATTTTATACGTATACATAATACCTTAAAGGGACACTATAGTCACCAGAACCACAGCTTTTTGCTGTAAACAGTGTCTTTTCAGAGAAAATGCAGTGCTTACATTACAGTGTATGGATAAGTCCACTGGCCACTCTTCAGATGGCTGCTAGAGTAAGCAACATAACTCCACTGGGCAGTGCTGCAGAGTAAGCAACACTGCCATTCAGTGTCTCCACCCTCAGCATGCAGACAATAAAATTTCCTCGTAGAGATTCATTGATTCAATTCATCTCTATGAGGAGATGCTGATTGGTCAGGGCTGTGTTTGATTTGTGCTGGCTCTGCCCCTAATCTGCCGCCTTGACAGTCCCAGCCAATCCTATGGGGAAGCATTGTTATTGATTCAAACCACCACTAGTGATGATGTCAGCAGACAGGGGCAGGTCAGAGGCAGACAGGGGCAAAGCAAGCAGCTGCAGACTTGAATACAAATAAATTTTTACTGTATTTAGGGGGGGAAAGGTGGGGGCCATGAGGTGTGTGGGGGCGGGGCTAGATGGTTGTTTTAACACTATAGGGTCAGGAATGTGTTCTTTATCCTATAGTGCTCCTTTAAAGAATGCCAGGAAACGTGGGCATCTGAGATTGCTTTTGCCTGGTCTGTCATTGGCATACACCAAAACTTCCAATTTACAAAAAGTAAAGATTTTTGACAAAACTAATTTAATTGCTCTGACAATTACCAGATGACAAATTTATTATGCCCAGAAATCTGCATGCACACTAATATTTGCTCTCTTATCTACACTGCTTGACCATATTTGTCGAACCCTTGTTTTATAGCCCTGATAAATAAATCTTATAGTGTGTGCGGACTCGTATAATGAAGTCATAGTTTGCAGAAGTCTTTGTGCTGCAACTTATCAGCTAAACACCTTTTGACCTACAGAGTCAAGAATCTGTTAACTATGAACTTTTCTGCATAGTCCAAACTGATTAATCCGTGTTTTGCACATTTCCTTTGTCAAAGTGTTTCAGTGGTATAAATTGTTTAATGAATACACAAAAGAAACCATATTTTGTGAGTGTGAAAATATAAACTATATTATCAAAACCACAATGGAAAAATTTTTTACTTACAGGGACTTTTACTACTATTTAAAGGGACACTATAGTCACAAAACAGCTTTAGCTTAACGAAGCAGTGTTGCTGTACAGATCATGTCTCTGATGTTTCACTGCTAAATTCTCTGCCATTTGGGCGTTACATCACCTCCCCTGCCTGTGACTGACATAGCCTGCATGAAAACAAAATGGTTTAATTTTCAATCAGATGTTACTTACTTTAAAAGGTTTTATCTCCTGCTCTGTAAATCCGTGGTGTACTAAGGGAGGTGGGGGGGGCGGTCAACCCAAATACAACTAGTTAGAGGGGTGCCAATGGCTGTTACCTGCATACCTTTGGACCAGTGTGCGGCCGCCTATGGTGCACCGGCCTGGGGGGGCATACAGCGCAATTGCAGGATCACCAGCAGGAGTGGAAGCACTCCCATCTAAGTCTATTTTATGTTGTTGCAATGTACGGAGCGAGTACTGCTAAAATTAGTAGCATCAGATGTCTCCACTGCTATATAAACAGCATTATAAAACATTGACATGGGAATATAAGATATGGATGGATACATGTTACTATTTCCAGGTGGCATATTAGTAATAAAGTGCTTAAAAGAACCACATTGTATCAAAACTACAAATATTCTGTTTTTTTAAATGAAAACCAGACAACTTTAGTGCAGCTGTAAACACATTGGGCAGATTCATTGCATTAAAAACCCTGGGACTTTTTCTAAACTCTGAAAGTCCCACAGGTGTACAAGCAAATTAAGCAAGATAAATGTTTTGTAGAAAAAAACTAAAATATTTGCATTCCCCTTGCATTATCATAATATAAAGAGCTACCAAGGTAAATACTGCAGTGGAGGCTCATCCGTAGGGGCACTTGGGGTAGGGCCCCACCAGTTTTTATGTATGGAAAAAGTATTTGCAATAGTTTAAAAATACAAAGATTCTATTTTTCTGGGGAGAGATTGAGGTAAGCCAACAAAACATGGGTATATATGTAGGTACTCCAGATGGGGCTGGGTGGGGGGTAGGGGTGTCAAAATAATAAAATTTTAAAAAAATATGTCTCTTTAATTCTGTAAGAGTTTCCTGTTCTGCAGGGCCCCTCTACCACCTAATTGTTGGTTGTCTGTAGATGCTTTCTTGAGAGCAACTAGGCATGACAAAGTTGGGGCAGGTTTTGCACATGTTTTTTGCAGTAAACCCTGTATTTTCAGAGAAAATACAGTGTTTACATTACCGCCTAGGCATAGCTCCACTGGCCACTCCACAGATGGCTGCTAGAGGTGCTGACTGGGGCAGTGCTGCAGAGTGAGCAGCACTGCCATTCAGTGACTCCACCCTCTGCATGCAGACACTGAACTTTCCTCATAGAGAGGCATTGATTCAATTCATTTCTATGAGGAGATGCTGATTGGCCAGGGTTGTGTTTGATTTGTGCTGGCTCTGCCACGGATCTGCCTCCTTGACAGTCCTAGCCAATCCTATGGGGAAGCATTGTGATTGGCTCACAGAATCACTACTGATGATGTCAGGCATGCAGGCAGTTTAGGGGCACAGGCAGCAGTTGCAGACTTGAATATAAAGATTTTACTATATTAAGGGGAGCAAGGGAGAGCAGGGGGAGGAGGCGCAAGATGGCAGTTTTAACACTATAGTGTTAGGAATACGTGTTTGTGTTCCTGACCTTATAGTGTTCCTTTAATAATCCTACTGCACATAACATAATGTAGGCTCAGCTGCCCAGTGACCACCAACTTCTTCAAAGTGTTCAGTCACTCTGTAGCGGAGACCTGAGGAAGTGATATGAAATCACCATTATACCATTTCCGTGCAGCCTAGTAAAGGGCTCACTCTGATGTTTCTATCTCCACAACTAGACTGCACAGCATTACAACATGGACCTCTTCACTTGGCCAGTACTGTCTGTACCCCTCTTGTAGCAGCCCTGTAGAGAGATATACATACCCAGGCACACATGATCTCCTTACCAGATACACAGACAAAATACACACTACCAAAAACAGATACATTGCACACAAATATACACATATCAAGAGACACACACAGATACACACTTCAAGACTAAAGAGTATAAATATAAACATGTTCTTAGCCACCCTCCTGTGTGCATGAACTTTAGGATTAGCAGATAGATTCCTTGATATCTAGTGGTGTCTAGTCCACTGTCATCTCATCCCAAAGACATTCTATGTACATCAGGAGGGATGACATCCTCCTCCCCCCCTGCACTGCTGTATGAGCGAGCCACCAGACTATTCCATACTGGCCAATAAGAGGTCCAGTCCAATGTGGCTGATTGGCACAGTAAGGTTCAGTAAGCTGAGAGATTTCTTTTTCCACCAAACTGTATAACTTTACTGTGTCCTACGCTGGGACCCAGTACTTGGCTTGCCCCTTTAACAGAGCCTTTCCTTACCTCACTGATGGTGGATCTGCTCAGGGTTTCTCTCTAGCCCATGAATGGTCAGGAATGCACCAGCATATTGCATATCTTACAGTGAAATAGAGGAGCTAGAAACTAGGTGAATGGAGCATTTTCTCATTTTGGTATTTGGCCTAAAATCTACATTCTTTGACAAATACCCATCAATTCACAGTTTAGTGATTTGCACTAACTCTGTATGATTGAGAAGAACACATTGTTGCTAAATAAATATAAGGCTATACAGACCTGTGTGACACCGAAATGGAGGACTGGGTCAGGGCTTAGAATTCCAAGTCCTACATTACTATCCTTTAAAAGTTACTTGCCACACCAAGCCTAACAGATCCATGTCACAGTCAACTGGGCCGAATTTCTACATTTTAACATGGGTATGGATAGTATTGAGTCGAAGTGTTTAGCTCCAACGATGTTGGTATTTGATATTTTATATTTAATTTTACGTGATGGAGAGCACGCGAAGTATAAATTAATCACCATGAACCGTATGGGAAAGGTCCACTACATACGCGAAATTCACCCTGCATATCCCCATTTACTGCTAGGTTTGATATTTTATAATTGTCTATATTACTTTACTCTACATATGCATGTGGTATACTCCATGTATTGTCATTTAATTCTATATATTCATACAATATACGACTACCCTCTGTATATACATATTGTATATTTCCATATAAAGCTAGATTCTATATATTCATACTGTATGTTACATAGCACTACACTCAATGGATTCAAGGAGTATATTCCAATATATTGCTACATTGTATATATTCAAACTGTATGTTCCCATATAATACTACTCTCTGTATGTACATTTCCATCTAATGCTACATTCTACATATTCATATTGTGTTTGTTATATATTACGGCATTCTATAACCTAATATTGTATGCTATACCCCCATCCACTGCTACACTCTATATATTCATACTGTATACCTCCATACACTGCTACACTCTATATATTCACACTGCATACCTCCATATACTGCTACACTCTATATATTCATACTGTATACCCCCATATACTGCTACACTCTATATATTCACACTGTATACCCCCATATACTGCTACACTCTATATATTCACACTGTATACCCCCATATACTGCTACACTCTATATATTCACACTGTATACCCCCATATACTGCTACACTCTATATATTCACACTGTATACCCCCATATACTGCTACACTCTATATATTTATACTGTATACCCCCATATACTGCTACACTCTATATATTTATACTGTATACCCCCATATACTGCTACACTCTATATATTCACACTGTATACCCCCATACACTGCTACACTCTATATATTCATACTGTATACCCCCATATACTGCTACACTCTATATATTCATACTGTATACCACCATATACTGCTACACTCTATATATTCACACTGTATACCCCCATATACTGCTACACTCTATATATTCATACTGTATACCCCCATACACTGCTGCTATATATTCATGCTGTATACCCCCATATACTGCTACACTTTCTATATATTCATGCTGTATACATCATACTGCTACTCTATATATTCACACTGTATACCCTCATGCACACTGCTACCTCCTATATATTCATACTGTATACCCCATGTAACTGCTACCTCTATATATTCGCCTTTATACCCCATGTATGCTGCTACACTCTGTATATTCATGCTGTACCCCCATATACTGCTACACTCTATATATTCATACTGTATACCCCCATATACTGCTACACTCTATATATTCATACTGTATACCCCCATATACTGCTACATTCTATATATTCATACTGTATACCTCCATATACTGCTACACTCTATATATTCACACTGTATACCCCCATACACACTGCTACACTCTATATATTCATACTGTATACCCCCATATACTGCTACACTCTATATATTCATACTGTATACCCCCATATACTGCTACACTCTATATATTCATACTGTATACCCCCCATACACTGCTACACTCTATATATTCACACTGTATACCCCCATATACTGCTACACTCTATATATTCACACTGTATACCTCCATATACTGCTACACTCTATATTTTCATACTGTATACCCCCATATACTGCTACACTCTATATTATATATATACACACACACACACACACACACATATACTGCTACACTCTATATTATATATATACACACACACACACACACACTATCCTGCAGTATATTCCATATATTGTTACACTGTATATATCTCAAGGTTCAGTGTTGTTTCCTTCCCACCTAGTAGTTGCCCCTGTGGTCAGTACCCTCTCCTCCCCCCAGCACCTTGCTCACCTTTGCATATTTCTTGGCTTTCTGTTTCCTCTTGTACTTTTTGTCCTCCTTGCTCTCAGTCTCCTCTGCCCCTTCCTCCAGGGGGTCATACCTGTCTGGCAGGGGGGACAGGTGCACCTTCTTCCTGCTCCTGCTCTTTTTACCTTTCTGAGACTTGCCTTGTTTGGGCTGAGCAGGGAGGTCCTGCTGGGGGGTGCCTTGCTTGTCCTCCTCCTGTAATGGAGTCCCCGGATCCTCGTCGGGGGGCAGTTTTCCGTATTTCTTTTTCCATTTGCGTTTGATCTTGGATCCCCCAGCCATAGTGCTCAGTCTGCTCCCTGCCCAGCTCACTGTGACTGCTCTGAGCAGGTAAATAACCAGAATGCCTGGACTTTGCTTCCCTGTGTGCTGGAATGCTGTTTTACTCTACCCTCCCACCCAGTGGTCGTTTTGGAGAACTGCAGTGTCTGAATTCCACCCTGTACTCCCTGTCCCTGGTGGCTGGTCTTTTTCCTGTCCCTCCCTGCTGGTTGTAAGACAGCAAGCATTGTTCTGCAGGTTGCAGCACAGTGGGGTTCTCACTCCTCACATTGTTTTGTCTCTAGTTTTGGAAGCCTAGGTTTATTTACAGACCACTGGGCAGGATATCCCCCTCCCGTCCAAGGATTGTGTCTTTTAGCACTAAAAAGATTACAAATGTTTTCTCGATAAGACTCCCCTAACCCATTGTATGCCAATGGTCTAGATCTGTTTACTTCTTTAAATGATGTCTATCTCTAATCATTTTCAGGTAGAGTAAGCATGTAGTTTAAAAAACAAACAAACAAAAAAAACATACACGGTGTTATTAACTAATGTGAGAATTCAAAGTTATCAAAGTGAATTTCAAACTAAAGGACAAAGTATTTTGGCTGCTCTGACTTTAAATTTGAAATTCACATTGATCTCTCACTATAGAAAATAACCATTTATAACACTTTGCTTCACTGGCATCATGGCCAGCATGGAGCTATAAGCCTTCCAGAATTTCTCCAAATATAGCAGAATTGGACAATTAAGACTTTGCCACTTATTATGTTCCAGCAGAGCTCCGCATGGCTGAGTTAAAAAGTCAGATTGATTCCTCAAGCTATTTCTGATGACTAAGCTCCCGTTGTGCGCTGGTTTTGTAAAACCCCTTCAAATATATTGAGCACACGCAAATATAGTTCCAAATTTTTCTTTGTGCAATCTCTGGAGAATATTCCTGTGTAATATCAGGATTATTTACTAAAGAGAGAATTCAATGAATTCAAAGTGAATTTCAAATTTAAGTTCAAAATAGTTAAATTGGAATTATTCTCAAAGTCATCAGTGATTTAGGTTCTGCTAGTCTGGCCTTAAATGTGAAATTCTTTTAGAATTCACTTTGAATTTTGATGGAGTTCTCCGGATAATCTAATAACCATAGGATACAATCCCAATGTTCTTTGTCGTTGATGGTTAAAATAGTATGAGGGATTCAGGACTCTGTTGTAGGCTCATTTAAGGGATTTCCAGGATCCCATAATAACCATAAAGTTGTTAGTGCATTCAGTTTCCCTGATACAAGTAACTTGCAGAGTATCTTTAATAGTTGACATTTGTATCAGCATGCTCTCTGTCCCACCACTTGTCTTATCTTCAAATCACTTAAACCATTGCTTGCAAAGACCGAAAAGTTTGACACACGTCTATTAGATCACACTGACAATGTGATTAACAATCAAACATGCATAGAATGAGGTCGAGTCAATAAATTGAGAAGGATTATCAAGGGATTTGTATATTTTAGATAAAAATAGCCAAATTTGAAGGGTAAAAAGCTATTTTTCCAGTTCCATTATTTTGGTCTACGATATTAGACTGGATTAATATATTTTCTGGTTCAAGGTAACACTTTGTGCCTTCTGGGTAGGGGATGGAGCTAGAAGTGCCACATAGCTCTGTATCATTCCCCATTACATTGCAATATTGTATTACATTGTGAGCTTGATGCCAGTTCCAATACCGAGGGTCTAAGTGTGGACTGAAACATTGACAGATACACTTATTTTTTTTGTTGCCTTATGTGATTATAACAACATTTAAAAACTATTTTGAAGTCCCAAGAGTGCTCTCTTTATGCATCAATAGTATGCAGGCCTATACTAGGGGTGCCAAAAGGAAGATCCCCAGATATTTTACAGCAAACTACAGCTTCCACAATGCTTTGTCAATGTAAAGGCATTCGAAATACTCGCAAAGCATCATGGGAGTTGTAGCTTTACAACATCTGGGGATCTGCCTTTTGGGCACCCCTTATATTAGCCACAAACGGCACTCCATGATATTTAAAAGTCATTGGAGTGCCATTTGTTAGGAAGGTGGATTATCTGCTTAATGTTTAACCAGGCAAACTGAAATTAAATAATAAAACAATAGAATAAATACTGCACCAGTAAACGAAATGACAATTCGGGATCAATCTAAAAAACAAATGTATAGTTTCAACTCCAGCTGGAGTTGAAACACGTTTGCTGCTAGACCAAAGTATTGTATCTGGGACTTTTTCTTATTTACTCTACGGTGTTTTATTTAGGCTTTGTGCCTAGTATATTTTACTATTTATACACTGCTTATTGTCCCTGTTTTGTTTATTTGTTCAATAAATTCTGGATTCTGCACATTGTATCCTGTGCTGGTCTCCTCACAGATATCGTTTTAGCCTTTTTAGGCACCCTCCTGCATATTATATAGAGCCTGTAGAGTTTTACTCTACAAAAGAGGTCTATCATTTTATATATATATATATATATATATATATATATATATATATATATATACACATTTTGCACTGTTATGTTCTTTGTGTTTTTTAGATTGATCCCGAATTGTCATTTAGTTTACTGGTGCAGTATTTATTCTATTGTTTTATTATTAATCTCTAAGTGTTGTGGGATACACTTTTCACTGCACAAGCAATTTTTTATTTGTGATCATTGGTAGCGCCAGTACACCTTGATTTCTTTGTAAGCTGAAATTAAAGTCCTAAGTGCAAGAACTGTGGTTGATTTTTTGTTATGGCCTCTTTGTGGAACTGCAGTAACTCACTGGATACACTCATTCACAGCATGTTCAGAGACTATTCCATCATCGACAGTTCCAGGTATGGAAGTGAGGGTCCCTGCCCTCTTCATTACGACTTTTTGACCATCTCCATTCCTCCCACAGTCACACATTAAGTGGGCAAATATAGAATTTAAGGGCCCCTCCTACTGCCCCCCTTTTCAGTGACACCAGAGGCCAAACCCCTGAAAAGCACAACAGGAACCAGGGCCGGCCTTAGGGGTGTGCGAGCTGTGCGGCCGCACAATGCGCCATGGAGCAGGGGGCGCCGTGCGGCCGGGATAAAAAAAAACTATTTGCGGCGAGGCGGAGCTTACCGTGCGGTGGGGGCAGAGCTATAAGTGCCATTTAACTGCTGCAGGGGAAGCAGGAAGGAGTCCCTGCTTCCCCCAGCAACCAGAACCCAGGAGCTGCACTGCCTGTCTGCCTCCACAAGGAACAGAGGTAACTATGTGTGATTGTCTGCCTGTGTGTGTGACTTTCTGTGTGTACCCACAGTTACAGCACCATACCCAATACAATAGACTGTAGTGGTTATGGTGCATAGAATGTCCCTTTAAAAACGGGTAGTCTGTGTCCCATTGTTTTTCACCCCATCTCCTATAGACTGTAAGCTCGCTTGAGCAGGGTCCTCTTCAACCTATTGTTCCTGTAAGTTTTCTTGTAATTGTCCTATTTATAGTTAAATCCCCCCCCCCTCTCATAATATTGTAAAGCACTATGGAATCTGTTGGCGCTATATAAATGGCAATTATAATAATAATAAAGTAAAAGGTAATTGTCTGTTAATTGTATCCCAACACAAAATAAGAATTATGATAAATCTAAGATGCATGCTTAAAAAAACACCCTGTTCCCAACAGACAGTAACATTTAAAAAATATCTTATAAATGCCACAAAATTAATTTAAAAACCAGAAAAGTTGGAACACTGACAACGAACAGTTAAAGCCGCCAAATCCCTCATGTGATAAACACGTTATAATACCATGAAAGAGCTGCATAATTGCCATGTCAGGAAGCCAACCTCGTGACAGCATTCTGATGCTACTAGGGAACATAAAGAGAGAAACCCCGTACGGATCCTCTCGCTACAAATGTTTTCAGGGCATCACATTGTTTACTCCATTTGCAGGATATTCTAATAGGGTAATACGTGCAGAGCGTTTACTATACAATGGAGAAAACATACATACGAGATCTGTTACAAAAACAAAAAATCCTCCATGAATTCCCAAGACTGCTTAGTTCAGATACACTCTTTGTACCATAACCACTATAGCTTATAGTTTATGGTGCTAGGAAGTTGTCCCTGAAAAACCCAGATTTTTAAATCTTCCTTTTATTCTTCATCGCCTGGGATGACCCACCCTAACCCGTTGACATGGTTTGGGGCAATCCAATTTCTCCACTGGGTCATCCTAACACTTGGAGAGTATTAGCACACTCGCACCATTCACGTTTCGCTTGCAGGAGCTGTGCTGTGAGTGCTTAAGTGAAGGAGCCTGTAGAGCATGAATCTGCGCAGAGATCCCATGCCATTCAAGTCAAATACCTGTTCCCCATTGACCACTGGATGTTGGTGAAAAGTTTTTCTCGAAGAGAAAAACTGAAAAAGGATAAATAATAGTATCTTTTTTTTATTTTTATTAGTCCTCATACAAGTCTAAAAATTAGATTGGTTTGTCTAGGGAGTGGGTGGAGCCCACATGCCACAGATGGTGAGAATCACAAAAACACCAAGAATTTAAAAAATGTTCATTTTCAGGATCAGCTTGCTAGGACAAGAACCACTACAATGAGCTGTATAAGTTATGATGTATGATGTTTGAAGTGGATTTGTCTTTCACAATTCGTATCTTGGATGACAAGTTCAGATTCTGGTTGGCATAGATTCATTGTGTACAATTTGCTAGTGAAATTAATAGATTTCGAGATAAATAGTTTCCTCCATCATGGTGTCATGGAATGGACAAAGCACAGCATCCCTGATCCCAAATGACAGTAATGCAATGTGGTTGTGGGATGCTACCTTGTCACTTGGAAGTCAGATTTGTAGTCTTAAAGGAACACTCTTCACTTCACTATGTATGAAGTGTGTCTGTTACTTTAATTTGACAAAAAGTGTCAATAGACAGATTTCAATAGAATTTGGCAATTTTATAAATAAACCTTGTTACACCCCCTTGGCTTTCAAGCAGATAACAGGTAATGTTACTTCCTGGTTTGGTTAGCTCAGCGAAGCTAAACGCAAGAGGCAGCAACTTCCCAGAAACTGCCTTGCAAAGACTTCTCATTGAGCTGCATTGGGAAGTCTGATTGGACAGCCACAGAAAGTCTGGGCGGGGTTAGAAGGGGAGGGCTTGCAAATGTTGCAGATGAGAACTGCGGTTTTTGCAAGCTGTTTATCGCTATATCCTGAATTAAGAATGCTTAATCAATGCATGCATGTTTCCATTTGGGATGTATACTAAACAGTAATTTTTTTTATATGAGGGAAGTAAAGTGTGTCATTAAACACTCCAACAGTTTTTCTACCTGTGACTTTCTTTAAAAAAAAAAAAATAAATAAAAATAAAAATTGTTGTCAGTCTTAACCTTTTCTGTGGATTGTGTAGACCACTTCTGAAATGGGACAAGGGAGAGCAATAACAGGCCTAGAATGCTGGGAGCGGGTAATAATGGACCTTCTGCATTGACTGGTGTTAAGGATGGTTTTAAAACAGCCTGACACAAACTGCAAATACTTTGTTGCAACATAACCAGTTGAATAGCTAGTAAAATAATGTTTGACTCACCCTGGATCAAGCTTTAAATATGTTTCTATAACTAAATCTAAGTCAACTGTTATTGCAATTACTCGGTGTAAAAGAAAATTAACTGCAGTGGTGTGAATAGCCCATGGATGTAATCCCCTGTTTCTCTGGTAACTGGCAGATTATTCGATCTAGATTGAAGGTGAACTATTTACAGGTTCAAAGGTCTAAAAGATTAGTGCTATAAATATAGTAATGTCTTAAGTGTCTTTTCTGCATTAGAAATTGGGTTCTGTATCTTGACGAGGATTTACAACATGCTAGTGTTAATATATAACTCATATTCTGATTGAACAAAATTGGAACAGTACATTTTTTTGTTCATTAATTTAATATGTACTACAATGCCAGTCTTAAAGGGACACTATAGGCACCTAGACTATTTCAGCTTATGGATGTGGTCTGGGTGCAGTGTCCAGGCCCTTTAACCCTGTAGTTGTAATTATTGCAGTTTTTGAACAGCAGCAATAATCACCTTGTATGGTTAAAGGACCACTCTAGGCACCCAGACCACTTCAGCTTAATAAAGTGGTCTGGGTGCCAGTTCCCTCTAGGGTTAACCCATTTTTTTTATAAATGGGTTAATCCAGCCTCTAAAGCCTCTAGAGTCATATTGACAGCCGCTAGAGGCATTTGCGTGCTTCTCACTGTGAAAATCACAGTGCAAAGACGCCAGCGTCCATAGGAAAGCATTATGAATGCTTTCCTATGAGACTGGCTGAATGCTCCTGCCTCGCATGCGCATTCAGCCGAAGAGGAGGATCGGAGGCGGAGAGCTCCCCGTCCGGCGCTGGAAAAAAGGTAAGTTTAACCCCTTCCTCTCTATCCAGCCCGGCGGGAGGGGGACCCCGAGGGTGGGGGCACCCTCAGGGCACTATAGTGCCAGGAAAACGAGTATGTTTTCCTGGCACTATAGTGGTCCTTTAACTCTCCACCTCTAGAGGTTGTCTATGAGTCTACCAGCATGAGGACATCCAGCATCACGCAAAACTCCATAGGAAAGCGTTATACAGTATATGGGGAATGTCCTAAAGCGATTGCGGAGATTGCCGTGCATTCACATTAGGTCCCCCTGCTGGCTGATGTTGGCGGAGACCAAACGATCGCCGAGGGACATTGGTACTGGAATCAGGTAAGTGATAAAGGGGTTTTTAACCCTGCAGCACAACGGGTGGGGGGCTCTATAATGCTAGGAAAACAACATTGTTTTCCTGGCACTACAGTTTCCCTTTAAGGCTGGCACATCATAAATTAGGTAGTTTTAAGATAGTTGGGGATGTACCTTTTAACTATGTCGCCATGGTACCTGATGTTCCCTCTGTATTTCTGTCTGGTTTACCACTAGGTATGTCCATGTAGTCTATATCTTGCTGTTAGCCTTCTATTCTATTAGCAGTGCAGCCATTGCTGGAGAATTGATTCTACTTGTGTATTCTGACCCAGAATTTACTTGATACAGATAACATGGACATGTGCCATTCTTTGTCTCCGGCCAACAATTCTTTACTTGTGTCCTGTCCTCCGCTTATCTCTGTACTCGCAAGAACTCTGGAATCCAGACCCTCGGCTTATTCAGAAAACTATCCTGTACCATGCCTTAAAATAAAGTACCGGGTGATTGGCAGCTCAAACCTAGTGGCACTAACTCTAAAAGGATTGACCCTAGGGGCACTAACTCTGAAGGGCAGAACTAAGAAAGCCTCTAGTGGCTGTGAATCAGACAACCACTAGGGGCACTGGCTGCTAACGGACTCCAGATCTCCTAAGTGACGCTGATGTCCTCACGCTCTGCATGAGGACATCCAGCATCAGTGAAACCCCTTTGGAAAGCATTTAAGCAATGCTTTCCTAAGAAGAGGAAACTATAAAAAATTAATGGAAACGGTGCAATAAATCATACAATGTAAATGGGCGGCTACAAACACCAACAAGCGTCTTAAATGAGTGTAAGCTCAAAAGGAAACACTCCTAAAAAAAATTTACTAAATATATATCGATAAACACAAATTTATTAGTATAAAACATATGCAAATAAATTAATTAGAACCTAAGTATAAACACATGACCACAATAATCTGTAGCTAATTAGTAGTGAGCTTAATAATAAGGTAGATAGAGCTAAGCAAATATGAATACATAAATAAGCACATGTAGCCACCACCGATACTAGGGATCGACCGATTATCGGTTTTACCGATATAATCGGCCGATATTCGGTATTCTCGGCAATATCGGTATCGGCCAATTCAGATACCGATATTGCCGATAATACCTCCTAGGACCGCCAGGCTCATTACAAGCCCGGCGGTCCTGGGGGGGCGGAGAGCAAGCGCTTACTCACCTCCCAGCAGCTCCCCAGTGCAACTCTCGCGAGACCCGCGGCCGTCAGAGCGTTGCCATGGATCACCATGGCAACGCTCCGCGCGACACGCTGGCCGCGAGAGTTGCACTGGGGAGCTGCTGGGAGGTGAGTAAGCGCTTGCTCTCCGCCCCCCCAAAGCTCAGCCAATACCACTGGACCACCAGGGACTGCTATATCCCCCCTCCCTGGCCAGGTAACAAGCAGGGAGGGGGGACAAAAAATAATAATTAAATATATATATATAAAAATAATTTAATAAAAAATTCCCCCTCACACACTCCATTATATACACAGACACTACACAAACACACTGTGTATATAATGCAGTGTGTGTTTGTATAGTGTGTGTTTGTATAGTGTGTGTTTGTATACAATGCACACAAATACACTGCATTATATACACACTATACAAACACACACAAACTGCATTATATACACACACTATACAAACACACACAAACTGCATTATATACACACACTATACAAACACACACAAACTGCATTATATACACACACTATACAAACACACTGTGTATATAATGCAGTGTGTGTTTGTGTAGTGTGTGTATATAATGCAGTGTATTTGTGTAGTGTGTGTATATAATGCAGTGTATTTGTGTAGTGTGTGTATATAATGCAGTGTATTTGTGTAGTGTGTGTATATAATGCAGTGTATTTGTGTAGTGTGTGTATATAATGCAGTGTGTGTTTGTGCAGTGTGTGTTTGTGCAGTGTGTGTATATAATGCAGTGTGTGTGTTTGTGTAGTGTTTATATAATGCAGTGTTTGTGTGTGTAGTGTGTGTATATAATGCAGTGTGTTTGCATAGTGTGTGTATATAATGCAGTGTGTTTGCATAGTGTGTGTATATAATGCAGTGTATTTGCATAGTGTGTTTATATAATGCACACTACACAAACACACTGCATTATATACACACACTATACAAACACACACTACATTCACTATACATACACTACACAAATACACACACACTCTGCATTCATTATATACACACACACTTTGCATTTAGTATATACAGCATTCACTTTACGCACACTACCCACACACTACACAAACACTCTGCTTTCATTATATACACACTACACTAATACACACTGCATCCACTACACACACTAAACAAATACACACTGCATCCACTACACACACTAAACAAATACAAACTGCATCCACTACACACACTAAACAAATACACACTGCATCCACTACACAAACACACATTGCATCCTCCACACACACTACACAAACACACACTGCATCCACAACCCACACACTACACAAACACACACTGCATCCACTACACACACACACACTACACAAAGACACACACTGCATCCACTACACACACACTACACAAAGACACACACTGCATCCACTACACACACACACAGCTCCCCTGTCACACTGCATCCACTACACGTGGCATGTATATTTTGTGCATTTACCTTTAGAAATAGTTTTTATTTTCCAAAATGGTAAATGTACAGAATATCGGCAAATTATATCGGCTATCGGCCTGAAAGTTCACAGAATATCGGTATCGGTATCGGCTCTAAAAAATCAATATCGGTCGATCCCTAACCGATACAATAAATAACACTGTATCCAGAGGCTCCAGTGCTTACCTCACATATACAGCAACAAAAATAAATACAGTAAATAAAATAAGATTAAAAAATTAACAAAAAATATATGTAAAAAGTACCTTGCCTCGGTGTGGGCCCCCCACCGAGGTGTATGTAAAAATAACAGTAAAAAGAAAGTTCCTGGAAAGAATATATCCAGATAAATAAAAAGAGGATGGTATCAGATGGACAAGCCGTCAAATCCAGACGTAATCCATAAGGGGGTGGTAATTGGTAACACCGCGGTCGGGATCTTCGAAAAAGACCGTGGTGTATAGGAGGCAAACTCCCAGCAGAAATAAATAACCACCCCTTAGATCCAGACTAAACTATAGAAACCGTAAATACCGGGAACATCAACCACTGTAGCAGGAATATGAACTGAAAACAGATATGAACTCACAGAAAGACAGAAGCAGTAGCTCTAAACTCACAAACGCTCTATGCAGGAACAGATTTCCTAAGAAGAGGGCCTAATGTAAAAATGCTCTCCACGCATGTGTGTTAGCCTCCCCGTTGGAGGAGCACCAACCAAGCGCCTAGTGACATTGGCGCTGGAATCAGGTGACTCAAATATTTTTTAACCCTTCAGTTGCTGGGGGATGGTTGGGGGAGGGTAATCAGAGGGGACTACAATGTTAGGAATACAGATTTTTTTTTTATTCCTAACACTACAGTATACTTTTTAATAATAACATTTCATCGAGCATTGCTGCTAGTCTTAGTCATCGGGGCTTCAGAAGCTCTTTGTACTTGAGTGCTTGACAAGTACATTGCAACAATAGCTATTTTAAGAATTTATTTTTTTAATTGCATTGCTGCTGTTCAATAGAATTTGAGATACAACTGCTGGCACAAAGATTTCTTTAATGATTTGAACACATTTACTTTTCACCCATTTAAAAAGCCAGTCAAGAACTTGAGTCACCATTTATACTGCATTATCTGTAGATTCATCTTTTCATTTTCCTCCATTGCTGTATGCTTGGTAATTACAAGTGGCTTAACATTTTTTCAGTGCTTTCCCATATAAAAGTATGGGATATGAGCACGTGAGCAGGCATTTGTGTAGATTATCTTAGCCAATATAACAGTACCCCATAAGGAAACAGTGGGAGGCTAGATCGTCTAATTAAAACAGCGGAGTATAATACAGTTATTGCGGCGGAAGGGCCTCTAGTGACTGTCAATGTAAACGCCACTAGAGTCATGTTAGCTTGTAATGTAAACATTGCAGTTCCAGCAAAAACGGCAGTGTTTTCAGTTACAGGATTAAAATTACCTGGACATGGCACCCAGACCACTTCATTGCGATGATATTGTCTGGTGCCTATGGTGTCCTTTAAAACTTTAATATGCATGGAAGTTCTTGGTGCATGAAGTGTCCCTTTAAGTTCAGTCACTCAAACTAGTTAAATAATTTTAAAAAATTGTATCCAAAGTCCTTTTTTTTTTTGTACGTGTGTAATACATCAATAAAAAAGTGCAAACAGTGCACAGAAAATTATAAAATGTATATTACAAATATAAAATTATTATTTTTACCCCAGTAGATTTAAAAAAGTGCATACAGCAAGTCAGTATAACAAGTACAAATTCATGTTTTTAACAGAATTTCAATCACAAACTACAAATGGCTGAAGTGCCACTAACAACTACAGAGCCAAGGGCGATCAGATCCTTATAGTATGGTGTATCCACAATCTCACTCTGCTCATCCCAAACAGCAATCTCCGCTTCTCGTTCTGTCTTCAAAACATCCTCATTCTCCGTCTCCTTCCTGGGTCGGCTACATTCCGCATCGGATAGTACCCTATGCGTTTCACCGCACTCCAAGCTTTTCCAAACAAATCTATGGCAAGATATGAAGCGGAGACTACTGGTTTGGACTTTACATGCACCAATCAACGGTCGAGTCTGAGCCTTGGCTACCTTATCATTGAGCTTCATGTGTTTTTATGACTTTTTTTGTTGTTAATTTTCGATGTTGGAATTTGTACTTCAGATGCTGACTGCTGTACACGCATTTTAGGATTTAACTTCAGATCCAGGGGCAAGAAGGATGATTTTATATATTAGTAAGTATCACATGTTATATTTATTTTTGTGCACGGTTTGCACTTTTTGTTATTTTTCTGAACACAAAATTTGAACGGTTGCTGTAGATAAAAGATTACCCTTTTTACCCATTATTTCAACAAGCAGTCTGCATATCAGAACAGAATCAAATAGCGGTATTTTGCACATTATGGTATCACTAATTTTTAACAATGGTTTGCATATTATTATAGGAATGATTGTGCCATTCTATTATGTTTGCTGGGGTGTGAGTGTGTGTGTTTTATACATAGCAACTGTTCTAAAATAGAAAAAACAAAATGGGTATCTGCTTTAATCCATAATTCAAAAAAAATAAAAAATAAATTAAATAAAATAAATGGGGTTTGTATTGTGAATGCAATTGACAATACCTGTGCCTGGAAGGGGCTTGGTTTATGTATCACCCATATTCAGATGCATCATCTCAAACAGAAACATTAACTGACAAACACTTGATTACGAGAACTGTTCAAGTAGGTTTTAATAGAGTGCACCAGAGAGTGAATATCTTGCATCAAAATGTCATTAAAGTACACTAGATAAAAGGGGGCTAAACTCTTTCTTTTTTTTTTTTTTACATTTTTAAATCACCCTTTTTTTGTCTAAGGCAACAATACACTTCCATGTTTAGGATGAAACATTACAAAATAAAATAAAGTTACATCACACAGTACAGTACGTTTTTGTGGGTTTTTTTTGTTTGTTTTGTTTTCAAAGTCCATTCCAACCAGCCATTGAAGAAATTGTTGACATTAAAAAAAAAAAAAAAAATTAAATAAAAATATGGTTTGCAAAATTGATCACAGCTTCAGTTGCATTTCAGAAAAGAATTGACAGCTTTCTGACGAATCGTTTCTTAGCAAGTGTGCAGATAAGGGCAGAGCCCAAACAACTGGATACAACATTAAATAACTTAGCACAATCGACCTTTAAAAGGTTAATTCTCTCCAAAATAACATATTAAAATGTACCAGGTCTAGTGGTTTTTATTCTTTGTTAATAATAAAAAACAAAAAAAGTTTTATATATTTATATATGTGATTTTCAGCCCTTTGGCTTATTACAAAGCGCCACATTACAAGCGTTATGAGTTGGAATAAATACGTGAGCTCTGATAAAATATTAAAGTACTGGATACACAAGAGCAAAATTCTACAAACACGTATGCATGAACAAAGAGGTCATCGTAACGAGCAATTACGTGCTCAATCTTATAATATGAAAAAGAATGCGGGACTTTAACCAATAAATTCTCGCAGGCCCTGCCTGGAGGTAATAATTTAACCCCTTCAAATCCGTTTAGGAGGTTACAGTCGTAGTTCCTCTTATTTAACTGCAAATACATAAACATTTTATAAACCATATATACATATTCTATAGACATATGTATATATTACTGAAAGCTTAGTTTCACATTCTCCAGCAGTACAGTGGCATCTGATAACGGATTTTTTATATTTCTTTAGATATACACCAAGTGTTAGAAAACCTATAAAGTCGGAAAAACTCGTGACAATTCTGGACCCAACTTTACATCTCATTGCCCAAGTAGGGTGGGGAAGAAATAAATCTCTGTATTTAAACCAGTCCCAGGTGGAGTTTTTCACCGATGATTGCCATTTTTAGTGGCCTGTCATTAAGTATTTTGACAAAAGTTGGGGAGTAGGGAAGATAGTCTCTAAAACATGTGATATTGCCTTGAGGACGAACTACTGTAATTTTTTTACGTGCCAGAGTAACTTTGGGTAATTCGGAAAGAAAGCACAATTATTTTAGTGGCACATTTGCGAAATACAAGACTGATCTGGTGAAGTCGTGCAGAACTTGCTCTTTTGTCACAACTTTTACAGGAGATGTAACCAAATTTGCACAAGTTTATTTTATCTACTACTTCCGTTTCCTTCCAATAAAATCATGCATATTTTTAACATTTGAAATGCAATTACAAGGGTTAAAACAAGCAAATTTTGAACCTCTTTATATATGATTGCCTATCAACTTGAATGCTGGTCTTATTACGCATAAGAAAACCAGTACCAGAACTGGAAGTAAAGAAAAAAGGTTTGTGCAAGTTTGTTACATGGGCATCGGTAATGCAATACTTTTTCTCCTGCCCTATTTTTTTTTTACAGACTGTATATAAAGCCATGTTTGGAAATAGTATGGAAAAACACTATGTATTCTTAATGTGCCACCATATTGTTCTGCCACATTCAAACTAGGACATTTTAAAGCTAGCACAGTAAAAAAAAAATAGCTATTAGTTGTGTTTCAGTTTTCTTTTTTTATTTGACAACTGCCTTTTCAAAATGCACAGGCAGGGTACGTGATTCAAACTTTAACATGGTGGCAACAGTATTTGGAATTTATATGTGAGTGGTAAACATGACTCAAGTGTAGGATTCAGAAGGAGTCAAATAACTCAGGTAGCTTTCATATAAGCATACGGTAAGCAAACGGTCAACATACTAACCCAAGTAGGACTATACCAAGGGCAAACACCTACTCAGAGCAGCTGAAATTATTGAGCACTGACCAGAGAAACTGGTCTCAAAAACAAGATCTTGGAACAGCAGATCGCTAGAGGAACCTGCTGTATATCCACTTAGATAAAATGAAAATACTGAGTTACATGTGAAAATCTATTTGTTGTAGACAATTACTCTACACAAGTATGCATATCATCAAGCAATAACATTAACTTGGAAAGTAAAACACCAAAGGTTAATCATTGTGTATCCCATGGGTTTAAGAATACTAAGCCATATTGTAATAGGATGTTTAATTAAATTGTTTCCTGATCAGACATTTCTTTTGCATCATGTAGTTTATGTACAGCTCATGTCAACTTAAATGTTTATCATTTTCTAAAATTAAATAACACAATATTCCTAATTCACTTGGGACGGACGTTCTTCTTTTTTTATGGGCCTAGCATGAAATTTGCATTGTTGGGCAGTTCAAAAATTTTTCCTTTAATGCATATTGGAATACTGGCAACAAGTCAGCTCAACTCGGGAACTCTTGGGATCTGATTGACTGTTAACATGTCTTATAAGCAACTGCCTATAAGCAGTCAAACTACAGCACACTAGAGTAAGGTTAGAAGTGTGATGTACGATGGCAAGATTTGCAAACTGAAATGATACAAAGTGCGTAGAGCTTGATTAGATGAAGAGGTTAATACTAATCTTTTAGGAATGTGGTTTTAAACCGATGCCCTTATATATAATTTAAGGTGAGAGCCGCTTTGACAGATATGGGGAGAAATTCAAGCCTTTTTTATATTTAGTAAATCATGCATCAACATCATTGCACACATCTCTTTTACAACGCATGCTATGTTTTACTGGGATAGCAGCAGGATGTTAACTAAAATCAGCAGTGTATAAAATAAATTGGTTACTTTAATCCAGCATACAGTTAATTTACTAAATATTTATAAATTTCAGAATTCCTGATCTTGAATATGTTGCAGGTTTAATTTTACATTTGAAATAAAATTGCTCTATAAAATTTTAATACTTAATTGAGAAGAGTTCATGCCACTTGCCGCTCTGCAGGGGCTGGGATACACCTTCACTCTTACAGTACTGCTGGCAGTAGGATCGCCTTTACATAGCTGAGTCAAACTGGATTTAGAATCATTTGAAACGTACTTCAAACTTCTACAATAACAGGGCAAAGTTAATACTAATACTTCCAGAAGTCTGAATTAACAAAAGTTGTTACTCTCAAAGTGGTAGAAGTGCTTTGTTTTTTAATCCACAAAAGTAGAGATTTGTACACAATTTTTTTTTTTAAGTTCTCGTTTCAATATTCTTTTGCAGTTCAAAGATATCCCATGCCTCAACTGCAAAACAAGATATTTCCAGATAGCAAGTCGATTGTTAAAAGTTTAGATTATTAGAAACACGCAAATCTAATAATTTGACCATATGACCCATTCGTCAAAATATGTGAGGGACCAACGCAGGATTACTATATGGAGTAAACTGCAGCAAAGCATAATAAAGGACAGGAAACTATGATTAACATTTGGGGACAAATGCTGGCTAAATTTTAACATGGCTTTTCGATTACACTCGACTCTATCAGTCTATTACTGAGCGAACCAGTGCTCCTGCTTCCTTTTGAGCAAGCTAGTGGAGAAATTTAAAAGGAACACTATAGTCACCTAAATTACTTTAGCTAAATAAAGCAGTTTTAGTGTATAGATCATTCCCCTGCAATTTCACTGCTCAATTCACTGTCATTTAGGAGTTAAATCACCTTTTCTGTTTATGCAGCCCTAGCCACACCTCCCCTGGCTATGAATGACAGAGCATGCATGAAAAAAAAAAACTGGTTTCACTTTCAAACAGATGTAATTTACCTTAAATAATTGTATCTCAATCTCTAAATTGAACTTTAATCACATACAGGAGGCTCTAGCAGGGTCTAGCAAGCTATTAACATAGCAGGGAATAAGAAAATCTTAATTAAACAGAACTTGCAATAAAGAAAGCCTAAATAGGGCTCTCTTTACAGGAAGTGTTTATGGAAGGCTGTGCAAGTCACATGCAGGGAGGTGTGACTAGGGTTCATAAACAAAGGGATTTAACTCCTAAATGGCAGAGGATTGAGCAGTGAGGCTGCAGGGGCATGTTCTATACACCAAAACTGCTTCATTAACCCCTTAAGGACCAAACTTCTGGAATAAAAGGGAATCATGACATGTCACGTGTCCTTAAGGGGTTAAGCTAAAGTTGTTCAGGTGACTATAGTGTCCCTTTAACTTGATTTTAACGCAAATGAATTACATGCAATAATAAAATGATAACTGCTGGGTATCGCATTATACTATTCTG